GCACAGCAGGGCTCTGTGCCCCACAGCCCAGCCTGGCACAGCAGGGCTCTGTGCCCCTCTCCTGCCTGGCACAGCAGGGCTCTGTGCCCCTCTCCTGCCTGGCACAGCAGGGCTCTGGAACCCTCCTGGAGCTGCTGCCAGCCCCAGCAGTGACTCAGCCCTGCCTCGGGCCAGCTCAGCTGATGTTCACAGCATCAGCTGGAGGAGCTTCTCCTGCCAGATGTTCCACAGAGCCCAGGCAGCCCCGGGGTGCTTTGAACACCCCCTGCAAACGCTGCAGCACCAGGGCTGGAGGTGAACTCGGACGTTTGGGCTCCATCCAGGGCGGGCACAGGGTCAGGAGCAGCCCGGGGGGAAGCTCTGGTTTTTTCAGCCAAGAAGGGACCCGTGCAGGGCTGGAGACGTGGCAGGAGTGGCTCTGGGAGTGCTGCAGGATCAGCAGCCCAAGCTCTGAGTCACAGAGGGTGATGGAGCAACGCAGAGCAAAGGCAACACCAGCCCCAGCTGCTGCAGCCACGGGGGCAGGGAGAGCACGGAGACCAGGACAAAAATCAGCCCTGTTTTCAGCAGCCCCAGCCTGGGATGAAGCTGCTGGGCAAGGGGAAGCTGTAAATCATCCCCGAGAGCCAAACAGGACCCCAAGGGCTGAGCAGGAACTGCTGCAAACCCTTCTCCAGCCTCACTGCCTCCTCCAGCACCTCCCAGCCCCAGGGGGAGGAAGAGGAGGAGGAAGAGGAGGATGGGACCCAGATAAAAGCACAGCAAGCCTGCCAGGACAGGCAGGAAAACCGAGAGGAAACGGGTTTGTTTGGCTTTGCTCAGCAGGCAGGGGCAGGGAAAGCTCTAATTTGGAGTGGAGAGAGGAATAAACCCCATGGACTGCTGGCCTGAACTCGTGGGCTGAGGAAGAGCAAAGCCCCCAGTGCCAGAAGCTGGGACCAGCAGCCTGGAAAAGCCTCGGGGAGTGGGAGCAGACACAAGTGCCTGGGGGATTAAATTCCCCATCACACGCTGCCTCTCTCCATCCTTTAAAAGGCTGTCAAAATATTTGGCTTCTCAGGCGGCCTTAAAGCCCATCCCTCGATTACCAGCTGAGGCACTGCTGGGGCAGCTGCCCAGGCCAGATCACAGCCCTGATGAGATGAAGGAGCATTATTCAAAGGCAAGTCCCAGGGGCTGCTCCCCGAGCTGAACTCAAGGGAGTGATGAGAATTACCTTGAAAACGCCTCGTCCAGACCATCATCCATTTCCTTTGTGAAGAGATAAAGAGAGAGACAAGTAGTTGCTAAGAGAACTGCACAGAAGTGTGTTTAGAGATCTGCACTTGGACTAAAAAAATCATCCCTGCCTGCTGGATTCCGAGTGCCTCAGTCCCCTCCTCTGCAATCTGCCTCCTCTCCGGGGGAAATGCAAATTCCAGGGGGCCTGGCCCTTCCCTCCAGCCCCAAACGGGCTGACTCTGCCCCAGCTGCAGCCCAGGAGAGCAGCACAGGGATGGGAACCACCACCCCTCCCTCTCCCAGCTCCAGGGACCTGGACACAGCTCCAGGAGCTCCTGGGGCTGTCCTGGCTCAGGGTCAGGAGAGCAGCCCTGCCCTGGCACGGCAGCAGCAGCCCTGGCACCCTGCAGCCCTGCCCTGCTGCCAGGCTGTCCCAGGAAAGCACTGGGGCTGCCTGGGGAAAGCTTTTCCATGCTCTGTTCCCAAAATCTTGCCAGATTTAATGCAATGAATAAGTGGAGTATGAGAACTCTGAGGGCAGGGAGGGGCTGGAGATTGCTGCTAAACCTCCAGGATTTGATTCAGCCTTAGGGCTGATCTCCAGCTTTAACCTGGAGAGCCTCGGGCACTCGCCCTGCAATTCCCCAAAACGCAGCAGAAGGGGTCTCCAGGGAGGGGCTGTGCTGGGCAGAGACCCCAGGGCCACAGGGGCTTCCAGGGGCAGCCCCAGCCTGCCTGGGGCTCAGAGAACCATGGAAGGGTTTGGGTGGGAAGAGAAATCCCTTAAACCGCATCCCAGTCCCACCCCTGATGTGGGAGGGACACCTTCAGTGCTCCAGCCCGGCCTGGGCACTGCCAGGGGCACTCACAGCTGCTCTGGGCACCTGTGCCAGGGCTGCCCACCCTCCCAGCCAGGAATTCCCTCCCAAAATCCCAGCCAGGAATGCCTCCCCAAAATCCCAGGCAGGAATTTCCTCCCAAAATCCCAGCCAGGAATGCCTCCCCAAAATCCCAGGCAGGAATTCCCTCCCAAAATCCCAGGCAGGAATGCCTCCCCAAAATCCCAGGCAGGAATTTCCTCCCAAAATCCCAGGCAAGCCCAGCCTGTCCCAGTCTGAGGGGGTGAAGGAGCACTGGGCTCCCTGGGGGATGCACAGCCAGGGCTGCAGCATCGCTCTCTCCCCAAAATCCATGAAACAATTAAACCAGGGCACTGAGCATGTCCCCAAGAAGCCATCCCAGCTCCACAGACACCAGCAGGAGCAGGGAAAAACAGGACAAACCATGAACTCTGCCCTGGAGAGAAGCAGGAGCCAGCAAGGCACGGATTTCTGCCCCTGAACACAACACCTTGGTCACCATGAGGTGACAACCCACTGAGAAATGCTGCTCCACAGCAGCAATATTCAATTACCTGGCAGGGCTTGGCCATCCTGCTCATTCACCCCCCAAGCACGGGGCACTCCTGGATCCTTCTGAGCTGTGGTGCCTCCCTGAGCAGCTCAGCCACCCCAGAGCTCCCAGTTTACCCCCAGTTTACCTGGGCTGGGAGCTGGAGCACTCCTGGCTGTCCCTAACCTAATATTGTGTTTATTTGAGGCAGGTCTGACAAGCTCTCAGGGAAAAGAATTACACTTTTGATAGCTCAGCTACCTCAGGTGGCATAAAGGTAGCAGGATGGTTCTTGTGACAGTGCTGGAAGCAAAAAAGTTTTGATAAAAGGCAAAATAAAAAAGCTCTTTACAGGGAAAAGCAGAGCAAGAGTTTTTTGCTCCTGCTAAAACACTTCAAAAAAGTGTTTTACTTCTTTTGTTTTCTTTTTCTAGGGAATTGCTCAGGTGGGATTTTTGCCTCCTGTCCAATTGGGTGACCTCAAGTTTGAGGAGATCCCCAAGGTGCTGTGAGGTGTCTTTTAACCAAATTGAGGAGAGAAACTTCGGGGCTTTTTTTGCTTGTCAGGGGGACAAAGGGGAACTTGTCTGCTCAGGGGCTCGTTCCTGCACTCACCCAGAGCACGTTGTTGTTGACCGAGGGGCTGGGCCCAAAGCTGCTGTTGTCCAGCCCTGGGCACCCCGTGCTGCTGCCCAGGGAGGCTCTGCCAGGGTCCCCAAAATCCAGCAAGTTCCCCATGGCTGGAGCTGTGGGCAGGGCGGGGAGGGAGGGAGGGCAGAGCAAAAAAACCTTTTTTTGCCAAACCTTTCTGCAGGCAACACAATCCCCATCCCTCAGGGACAATTCCCTTCCCTCAGGGACCCTCCCCATCCCTCGGGGACCCTCCCCATCCCTTGGGGACCCTCCCCATCCCTCAGGGACAATTCCCTTCCCTCAGGGACCCTCCCCATCCCTCAGGGACCCTCCCCATCCCTCGGGGACAATCCCCATCCCTCGGGGACAATCCCCATCCCTCAGGGACCCTCCCCATCCCTCGGGGACAATTCCCTTCCCTCAGGGACCCTCCCCATCCCTCAGGGACCCTCCCCATCCCTCAGGGACAATCCCCATCCCTCAGGGACAATCCCCATCCCTCGGGGACAATCCCCATCCCTCGGGGACAATCCCCATCCCTCAGGGACCCTCCCCATCCCTCGGGGACAATTCCCTTCCCTCAGGGACCCTCCCCATCCCTCAGGGACAATTCCCTTCCCTCAGGGACCCTCCCCATCCCTCAGGGACAATTCCCTTCCCTCAGGGACAATTCCCTTCCCTCAGGGACCCTCCCCATCCCTCAGGGACCCTCCCCAATCCCTCAGGGACCCTCCCCATCCCCATCCCTCGGGGACCCTCTCAATCCCTCAGGGACCCTCCCCATCCCTCGGGCTCTGCCATGGTGCTCACGTGTGGCAGGATGGGCAGGAGCTGCTGAGCCAGGGCTGCTCGTCCCTTCTGCTGCCAGGATGGACTTTTCCCTCTTCTCCTTCTCTGCAAAAGAGGAATCCCCCCACTGCCTGCAGCTCTGCAGCTGAGGGAGCCGGGCCAGGCCGCCTCCGCTGCTCCATCACCTGGAGCAAGGTGGGAGCAGGAGCCCCAACCTGCCTGAGGCACCTCCAGCAAAGCAGCACAGCCAAAACCTGGCTGGATTTACCAGGAAACCTGGAAATTTGGGAGGCAGGGGAAAGGGGGACACAGCAAAGTGACCCCTGAGGGCGAGGAGGGCAGTGGAACTCACCTTCCTTCGCTGCCTGCCAGAACTCAAAGGCGACTCTGAAGGCCTGGGCCACGGTGAGGGTGACAGCCTGGGCCTGGGGAGCAGAGAGCAGGACAGAGACCAGCCCCTGAGACCTCTGGGACCAATTAAATCACTGAAATCAGTCACTGAGATCACTGAGACCAGCCCCTGAAACCTCTGAGACCAATTAAATCACTGAAATCAGTCACTGAGATCACTGAGACCAGCCCCTGAAACCTCTGAGATCAATCAAATCACTGAAATCAGTCACTGAGATCACAGAGACCAGCCCCTGAAACCTCTGAGATCAATCAAATCACTGAAATCAGTCACTGAGATCACTGAGACCAGCTCCTGAAACCTCTGAGATCAACGAAATCACTGAAATCAGTCACTGAGATCAATGACTGAAACCTCTGAGATCAATGAAATCACTGAAATCAGTCACTGAGATCACAGAGACCAGCCCCTGAGACCTCTGAGATCAGTCACTGAGATCAATGACTGAGACCTCTGAGATCAGTGAAATCACTGAAATCAGTCACTGAGATCAATCACTGAAACCTCTGAGATCAATCACTGACATCACTGAAACCACTGGAATCACTGAGATCAATCACTGAAATCACTGACAGCACTGAAACCAATCACTGAGATCATTGACAGCACTGACACCAATCATCACTGAAACCACTGAGATCAATCACTAAAACCACTAAAATCAATCACTGAAACCAATCACTGAGCTCAATCAGTGACACCTCCAAAATCCATCCCTGGGCTCCATCTGTGGCACCTCTGCTCTGCAGGCTGCTGCTCCCTGGCCCTGCCAGAGCCACCAAACCCTGCTGGAGGGAGGGCAGGCTGGCACAGGGCTGGCACAGCGCTGGCACAGGGCGAGCTGACCCCAAGAATTAAAAGTTTTGGCCCGTTATTGTAAACATTGCCCAGGCAGTTTTGGGATAAAACACAAACACCTCCCTGCAAGGACAGATGGAATGCCATGCCATGCTGGACAGAGCTCAGCAGGGCAGAGAGAGAATGTTCTAGATAAAGACAAATAAACAACCCCTGAAGAGCTGATCCTGTGCATTCCTGACTCCTCCTTTGGCTGCGGGCTGGGAAATGAGGATTTTTACACCCTTTTACCCCCAGCAGTGGGTTTGTCCCGTGCCAGCCTGGCCCTGCAGGAGCAGGGCACCCGTGCCAGCCCTGCAGGCTCAGAAATGCCACCCCCATGCTCAGCAGCAGCTCCAGCCCCAGCAGAGCACCGGGAATGCCCCCACACCCCGGGCATCCAGGCTGGCTGGGCTTTCCCAGGCTGTGACCACGACAAACCCCCAGGCAGGGATGGACCCTGCTGCCCTGGCAGCCCCCAGGGACACGGGGGGCACAGAGAGGGCACAGCACCCCAAAAAAGGCCAGGCAGGGGGGCAGGGGGACCCCAGGGCCGTCGGTGCCAATTAAGGCTGGCAAGCAGGAGAGCTCATTGGAATGTGGGAGCTATTTGCATCCTCGGTGGCAGTGCAAATGCTTTATGGCAAAAAACCCCTTAAATATGGTAATTAAGTATGAAACTCCTCACAGCTGTTTACAATTTAGGCTGTCACATCTGAATCAAGTTTAATAGACCCAGCTACTGCTGAGAATTACCCAGGAACTAAAAATATGGACTAATTATATGCCTGAGACTGGGAGCTGTGGTGCATCCAGGGCCCCTGCCCCGGGGAGGGCTGGCTCCCAGTCTGGGAGCAGGGATCACCTCAGCAGCAGGATGTTCCTGCATTTTACAGACCAGGAAAAAGGAAATTATTCCTAGTTTTTGCCACAAAAGGCTTTGGAGAACTTTATTTGGAGGGGGATGCGCTGAGCTGATGGAGCACCGAGATAATTCTTTTAGCAGCAGGGAGATTTAAATTTTAATTTGCAGAGCGAGGCTTATCTTGGCCGTGCGAGGATGGGAGCACACGGCGGGGACAGGAGAGACAACTTGTAGCTCCCATTATTCTCTCCAAGGGGAAAAAAGCCAGCTGGGAGAGGCAGAGAATTTTAACAGAGCCCTGGTGGCCAAGCTGCAGGCACGGGGATGCTCCTGAGGACCAGGCTGGGAACGGCCTCGGAGGGATCTGGCACCTCCTGCTCCCCTGCAAGGGGCACCAGGGAAGGATCTCGGGGCCCAGAGGGCTCCGACCTGCCCCTCCTCTCCCCTCAAGCCCCTTCCTGGCACGGGGAGGGGGCTCAGTGCCAGCTCTGCCTCCACCAGACACCCCAGGGCTCTCCTTGCCCCACTCCTCTCTCGTTTCACCAGGTCCCTTCCCATCCTGGAGCCCTGAAACAGCAGGAAAACATCCCAGGAGGGCTCAGAGCATGTGGATATTCCCAGTTCAGTCAGAGAGAAAAAGAAAAGTTTTTTCCCAGGCTCAGCCTGGCAGAAATCTCTCCCTTTTTCTCTCTGACTGAACTAGAATATCCACAGGAGCACAGCCCAGGCTCTTCCCCACAGCCAAGGCTCTGCTCTGAGCCCACCCCCAGCACGCAGCAGGGTCCCCTGCGGGGAGGACACGGCCCCAGCTGCACAGATGCTGCTAAAAACTGCAGAGCTGGGACCCCGGGCACCTCCTGGCCAAGCCCCCCTGCCCAGGAGGCTGCAGCAGCACGGGGAGGTGCCCGTGGGGCAGGGCTGCACAGGGACAGGCCCTGCAGGGCAGCAGCAGCTCTGGGAGCTCTGCCCGAGCCTTCCTCCAGCCCTGCAGCCCCTCTGCGTCCCTCCTCCTCCTCCTGCTGGGCACTGACCATCTTCCTCTTGGTGCACAGGAAGGCGTGGCACTCCAGGCTCTCGTTCAGCTGGCTCTGGGCAATGTAGGCAAACACTTTGTCGTGGGCCTTGTCTGCCGTGCAGTAGGAGATCCTGGAAGACACAGCACCACGGGCTGGGCTCTGGGGAGAGGCTCCAGAGCCTCCTGGGGCTGCCAGCAGCAGCTGCCCAGCTCCAGGGCCAGGCACGGAGCCCAGGGAGAGAAGCCAGGGCGGGTGAGGGAGTGAGATCCATCTCCTTGGATGGAGAGGGGGGGAGAAGAGAGAAGAGAAGAAGAAAAGTCCTGTTCACTCCAGGACAGGCTGGAGAAGGGGAAGATTCCAGCAGAGCAGCACCTCACACTGCTCTTCCTGCAGGAGAGAGGCTGGCTCAGGTTTTCCTTGGAGGATGAGGAAGGAGAAGGGAGCTGCTCTCAGCCTGGGATTTCATCTTCAGGCTCAAAGCAGAGGAGCTGATGCAGGGGTGGCTGAGATTCGGGTCTGGGATTTGCAGCAGATGCTCAGGAGGAGCTCAGGGGATGTGGGAGGGAGGCTCAGCCCCTCCCTGGAGCACCCCCAGAGCTCTGCACCAGGCAGAGGTGAAGAAGAGCAGGCCAGAGGAGCAGCCCTGGGGCGCAGGGGAGCAGCAGCACCCACCTGTAAATGGAGATGTTCTCGATGAGCTCGTTGGTCCTGCTGTCCCTCAGCACAATCCCGCGGGGTGACACCTTCAGCGTCACTTTCTGCAGCTTCTTCCCACTCGCTTTTGCCTTCGGGAGGGAAAGAGGGAGGGGAAGTCCCAGGCTGCTAACCCTGGCACCTCCCAAAGGTGTGAGCAGACTGGGGATGCTCTCACCACGGGCTGATTCTGCTGCCAGGAGGGACACAGCACTGGTTAACCCTTCCCTTCCCTTCTGGGGCGCAGCCAGCTCTGTGCACACACTTTTGGAGGTGCCAGGGTGCTGGCAGCAGCTTGGGCCTGGCACACGTGGGCTCCCAGCTGGTGCCAAACCCCAGTCCAGGGACAAAGCACCCCCTGGACAGGACATCAGCTTAAAACCAGACTTTTACAAACCACTTTCTCTCATTTACTGGCCTGGTGCTCTCAGCCTGAGGCTCCCATCCAGCTGGTTCCAGCCTGGAATCCTCAGCCCCACTCCCGGAGGGATTTTGAGTCCCTTGGGGACCAGGGGGATGACTGGAAAAGGGATGGGAATCAGGGGGATGGCTGGAGGAGGGCTGGGAACCAGAGGGATGGCTGGAATTGTGCTGGAAAAGGGCTGGGGATCAGGGGGATGGCTGGAATTGTGCTGGAAAAGGGCTGGGGATCAGGGGGATGGCTGGAANGTGCTGGAAAAGGGCTGGGGATCAGGGGGATGGCTGGAATTGTGCTGGAAAAGGGCTGGGGATCAGGGGGATGGCTGGAATTGTGCTGGAAAAGGAATGGGAATCAGATGGATGGCTGGAATTGTGCTGGAAAAGGAATGGGAATCAGATGGATGGCTGGAATTGTGCTGGAGGAGGGCTGTGGATCAGGGGGTTCAGGAGATCCACCCCTCTGAGGTCACAGTGGGACAGCTGGCTGGGAACTGCAGCAAGGTGTCCCTCTACCTTCCCCTCTCAACCCCCCAAATCCTGGGGGAAAGCCCAGCCCGGCCTGGCCACGCTCCAAAGGCTGTCCCTGCCCCGGGGCAGGCTGACTCCAGCAGGTCAGAGCTCCTCACACACCCTGGCTTATCCACCCTGGCTTATCACTTATCTCTTATCAGAGCTCAGCCACACACCAGCCGTGCCCAGTGAGCTCCATCCCAACCATCCCACAGGCTGGGCTGCTCCCAGGGGCTTCCCAGTGCCTGAAGGGTCTGCAGTCCCACCCACAGCCCTGGAGGGGCTGAAACCCCAAACCTCCCTGGAGCTGCAATTCCCATCCCTGGGGCTGCAATTCCAATCCCCCTGGGGCTGCAATTCCAATCCCTGGGGCTGCAATTCCAATCTCCCTGGAGCTGCAATTCCAATCCCCCTGGGGCTGCAATTCCAATCCCTGGAGCTGCAATTCCAATCTCCCTGGAGCTGCAACCCCAAACCCCCTGGAGCTGCATTCCTGACCCCCCTGGAGCTGCAAATCCTGGCTGCCCCCAGCCGCAGCTCCGAAACTCGTCCCCGTGGGACTCCCCCGAGGGCCACCTGGGGACACTCACGGTGGCCACGATCCTCTTGACAGCGGCTGCAGAGAGCTCCTCGCCCTTGGGCTGCTCCACCAGGGTCATGCCCAGGTACTTGAGGCTGAAGAGCATCCCCTCCAGCAGCGTCTCCCGCGTGTCTGTCCAGTTCTCGGGCAGCTCTGGGGACACAGGGAAAGTTCTGGAGTCACAAACCCCCAGCAACAGCCACCTGAGGAGGAGATGGGGCAGGGAGAGGAGGCAGCAGCACTTCAGCCACGAGGTGGTCCTCGTGCAGCAAAATAAACCCTAAAATGTTTTCCACAACAAACAGCAGCAACCCTTTAGGAGCCACCAGTTTAACTGGGAGCCACCCCGAGCCCTGACCCTGCAAAGCACCACCTGCACAAGGAGGGTAAGATGGGATTTGCTGCTAAGCCCGGGCAGCTGCTGGGATGCAGGTGAGGTAAATCACCACCCACACCCTGAGGAGCCCCTCAGGAGAGGTCTGTGCTCTCCCCATGGAAACCACCACGGCCCCTTCCCCAGAGTGCTGGGGGGCTGGAAGGAGGGTTCTAAACACGGGATAAATGCACACACAGGGTGTGGGGCCGGGCTGAAAGTCAGCTGGGCGCTGCTCAGCCTGAAAATGCACCAGGAGCCAGCCGGGATGGGCAGCTGGTGCTGCTTTGGGGGGGCTTTGCCCTGAGCAGGAGGCAAACCCCAGCTCGGGGAGGGCTGGGGAGCCAGAGGAGCCCCAGGCAGGTGGCACGGTGAGCTGGGCTGCTGAAAGTGCCACCTGGCCAGGTGGCCCGTGTGCCCAGGTGCCACAGCCCGAGCCCGGGGAGCCCCTGATGCCACCTGAGTGCCACCCGATGCCACCCACCTTTGCACCCCCAGCCCCTGGCACGCTTTAAACGCGGCCACCAAAGAGCTCCGGGAGGGGAAGGGCAGCGCGGGGACAGCGACACTGTCCTGGTCACCGTGCGGGTCACCCAGCCCCGGGCACCCTGCCGGGTGTCCCCACGCCCCCAAGCCAGCCCGTTCGTGTCCCGCCGCCGCTCCTCCCCGGTGCCCCACGCCGGGCCGGTGTCACCGGGCCAGCGACAGCCACACGCTCGGTGTCGCCCGGGGGGCGCGGGGTGTCCCCCCCGGGCCCGCGCTGGCCACGGGGCCATCGAGCGTGTGACAAAGCCAGCAGCGCGACGAGGTCACGGAGGGACAAAGCGCCCGCCGGGCTCCAGCCCTTGTGCCAGGCTGGGGGACGGGGGACACGGGGACAGGGGGACACGGGGGGACAGGGGGACAGCGGGACAGGGGGACAAGGGGACACGGGGACAGGGGGACACGGTGGGACAGGGGGACACAGGGACACAAGGGGACAGCGGGACAAAGGGACACGGGGAGAGGGGGACACGGGGACACAAGGGGACAGCGGGACAGGGGTACAGAGGGGGACAGGAGGCGAGGGGGACACCGGCATAGCGGGACACGGGGACAGGGGGGCAACGGGACAGGGGGTCACAGGGGGAGAGGGGGACACGGGGACAACGGGCCAGGGGGATAGCGGGACAGGGGGACACGGGGACAGGGGGACACGGGGACACAAGGGGACAGAGGGACACGGGGACAGGGGAACACGGGGAAAGAGGGATACAGGGACAGGGGGACACGGGGACACAAGGGGACAGGGGGACACGGGGACAGGGGGACACGGCGCTGCTGCCCGCGGGAAGGAGCGCAAGGAAAGGGGAGCGCCATGGGGCGGAGCGAAGCGCGCGGCCAAAAGTGGGGCTGAAAGTGCAGAAAGAGCCGCGGGAGAGCCCGAAAGTGAACGAGGGGGGAGAGCGGGGAGCGGAGAGGGCAGGGGAGGGCAGGGAGGAGGGAAAGGGGCAGAGCGGGGGCAGAGCGGAGGGAAAGGGGCAGAGCGGGGGCAGAGCGAGGGCAGAGCGGAGGGAAAGGGGCAGCGCGGGGGCAGCGGGCAGCGGGCCGGGCTCTCACTCTGGTGCCGGCCGCCGGCCCAGGCCGCTCTGTGACCGCTGGGGCTCCGCAGCAGCGCCCGGCCCGCCGAGCGCAGCGCGTCCATCCCGGCCCGGCCCGGCCGAACTTTCCTGCGGCGCCAGCGCTGACCGCGTCCGGGGGCGGGGCATGCAAATGAGCGTGACGTCACGGACACGCCCCGGGACACGCCCATCCCGCAACGCGCCCCAAAAACTCTGCGGGGACCCGAAAAGTGCGGGGACCCAAAAACTGTGCGGGGACCCAAAAACTCTCGGGGTCCCAAAAACTGTGTGGGGTCCCAAAAACTCTCGGGGTCCCAAAAACTGTGTGGGGACCCAAAAACTCTCGGGGTCCCAAAAACTCTGCGGGGACCCAAAAACTGTGTGGGGTCCCAAAAACTCTGCGGGGACCCAAAAACTGTGCGGGGACCCGAAAACTCTGAGGGGACCCAAAAACTCTGAGGGGACCCGAAAACTCTGAGGGGACCCAAAAAGTGCGGGGACCCAAGAACTGTGTGGGGACCCAAAAACTCTCGGGGTCCCAAAAACTGTGCGGGGACCCGAAAACTGTGTGGGGACCCGAAAAGTACGGGGACCCAAAAACTCTGCGGGGGCCCAAAAACTCTGAGGGGACCCGAAAACTCTGCGGGGTCCCAAAAACTGTGTGGGGACCCAAAAACTGTGTGAGGACCCAAAAACTCTGCGGGGTCCCAAAAACTGTGTGGGGACCCAAAAACTGTGTGGGGACCCAAAAACTCTCAGGGTCCCAAAAACTCTGAGGATCCCAAAAACTCTGAGGGGACCCAAAAACTCTGCGGGGTCCCAAAAACTCTGAGGATCCCAAAAACTCTGAGGGGACCCAAAAACTTTGCGGGGTCCCAAAAACTCTGAGGATCCCAAAAACTCTGCGGGGTCCCAAAAATTCTGCCGGGTCCCAAAAACTCTGCGGGGTCCCTAAAACTGTGTGGGGTCCCAAAAACTCTCGGGGACCCAAAAACTCTTGGAGTCCCAAAAACTCTTGGGGACCCAAAAACTCTGCGGGGACCCAAAATTTTTCCATTTTCCATCTTCCTTGGGAAGGTTCCATCCTCCTGCCATGCCCCTGGGCAGCTGCTGCCACTTTCCCCACCCCTGCTCTGCCCTCCTCTGCTGCTGCTGTCCCTGGCAAGGTGGATGAGGGATTTTTGGGGGTTTTTCAGGATGCCAGGGGAGCTCCCCTGACCCGTGAGAGCCTCGAGCTGCCCCTGAGGTGCCCCCAGCCCGGGCCAGCTCCAGGTCTCCTCGCTGCCCTGCCCTCTCCCTGGTGTGTCCCTGTGCTTGTGGTGTGATTTCTCTCTCTCCAAGCTGATTTTTTGTCCTGCAGGGCCTTTTCCCCCCCGCTGTTTCCTGCATCCCTGCATCCCCAGGGGTGGATTTTGCTGCTGCTGGTGTCACTGCACGCCCAGGCTGTGCCAGAACATGGGATTTGAAGGTGCAGGCAGGAGCAAACCCGGCGAGGCTGCTGTAAAACAACAGCTGGGCAGTGCCTGTGCCCTTCTGCTCGGGCAGATTTGGGAGCTAATAATAATTGTAAACATCTCTGTGCACCGTGGTTAATCCTGATAATCTCCTCAGCCCAGGCTGGGCTTTGCTGCGTGTTCTTCTGGGCCTGGAGCATCCCTGCAGCTCGGGAGCTCCGGCTGGGGTTGCTCTGCCAGGGAGCAGGGGCAGTGCCAGGGGTGCCAGCCAGGTAAAACGAAATAAAAATAAAATGCCACGCTGGGCAGAGGCGACATTTCAGCCCTGGAGTTTCCCACAGCCCCCGGGTGCTGTTGGCAGCTCACAGATCTCCATTAGCACACCAGGCTTTGGGATTTTTTCCCATCCCATTCCCAATCCCATAACCCATTCCCCATCCCCATCCCCAGTCCTGTTCATCCCCAGTCCCATCCCCAAAGCCAATCCCCATCCTCAATCCCAATCCCATCCCCATCCCCATTGCCAAACCCATTCCCAATCCCATCCCCAATTCCAATCCAATCCCATAACCCATTCCCAATCTCCATCCTCAATTCCATCCCAGTTCCCAGCCCTGCCCGGCCCTTTTCCTTTTCCCTTTTCCCTTTTCCTTTCCCTTTTTCCTTTCCCCTTTTCCTTTTTCCCTTTTCCCCTTTTCCTTTTTCCCTTTCCCCCTTTTCCCCTTTTTTCCCCTTTCCCTTTTCCTTTTCCCTTTCCCCTTTTCCCTTTTTTTCCCTTTTCCCTTTCCCTTTTTCCTTTCCCCTTTTCCCTTTTCCCTTTTCCTTTTTCCCTTTTCCATTTTTCCTTTTTCCCTTTTTCCTTTCCCCTTTTCCCTTTTTTTCCCTTTTCCCTTTTCCCTTTTCCGGGAATGGTGCTGGGAGCAGGAAGCGCCTCCGAGCCGAGGTGACATCGGCGCTGTGGCTGCCATGGCAACCCGCGCTTGTTTCTGGGATAATTACCAAAATCCTTCCCCGCTCCAAAATCCTGCCCCGCTCCAAAATCCTGCTCCCTGCTCCAAAACTCTGCCCTGCTCCGGCCCGAGGCCACCAAAAATGGGCTTTGCTGGCCCGTTCTGCTCGCTGGGCCAGCCGGGGGATCAGGGACGGGCTGCACATCTGCAGCACATCTGCACACCTGCAGCACACCTGCAGCACACCTGCAGCACAGCTGCACACCTGCACCCCACCCGGGAGGAGCAGCAGCGGCTCCCAGCACCTGGGCGGGGCTGCCAGGGAAAATTCCCGGCCCTGCACCGGGAATTCCGGGGCTTTCCGCGCCGTTCCCGCCCCAGCCTGCCTGCCCCAACCTTCCAGGGATGCGTCAAACCAAAAGATCCGTTCCCGAGGTGTCCCTGCCTGGCTCGGGAAAACCTGGAACAGCTGAAATTCCCGCTGGAATTCCCCGCCCTGGGTGGGATCCGTGCGCTGCCGCTCCTCGGGATGGATGGTGGCCTCACCCAGCCGAGCCTCCCCAGCCAAACACTCATTAGGGACCATTTGCTGCCTTTGATAATTAAGGCTTTGATGAATCCACTGGCTGCGCTCGGAGCAACAGGCAGAATGAATTGCGTTGCCATTTGGGGGAGGAATAAATGAATTCCATCGCCAGGCAGGAGAAGGTGTTTAGATCCCACTGCACTTTCTAGAGGCGCTGGATCTGCTGCTGGAGCTGTAATTATGCAGATTATTAATTGCCAAGCACCAGGCTCAGTCATTTCCAGAGGAAATCGTGCTCCTGGCAGCGCTGCAGGCGCTCCAAAGCTCCACAGGCTCTGTGCTGCTCCTGTTTGTCCCAGCCCAGCACATCCCCCTGGCTGCCCTGGCAGGGGCTCAGGGACCTTGGCACAAAATTAAAAATACCTGTGGCCATGCAGAGACCCTGGCACAAAATTAAAAATACCTGTGGCCATGCAGAAACCCTGGCACAAAGTCAAAACCACCTTTTAGCTTTGATTTTAGCCCATGGAAAAAGCTGCCAGCTCTGCACGAGGAATTACAAACCACAGGGGTTTGAGTAGTGTGATATTTGGATCAACACAAGGTGAAAAAGTAGAATTTTGGGGTTTTTAGAATGGGGTTCAGAGGGTCAAGATGGAGGATTTGAGCGTGTCCTGACCTTCTTCTCCTTCTCCTCCATGCCCTGGTGTGCTGGTGACACTTTTCTGTTTAAGGTACGGACACGCTGCCCAACAGAAATGATCAATATTGGTACATTCTTGTACATACAGTACATGTAATTTTGGGTATAGAATGGAAAAACCTCCCTGAAAGGGCACACAGTGCCACGGCCTCCTCGCTGGAGAGAGCTGGGCAGGTCAGAATGTTCTAGAGAAGGGAAATAAACAGTTGAGAAGCTGATCCTAGAAATCTCACACTCCTCCTTTGGCTGCAGGGGCTGGGAAATGAGGATTTTACACCCTCGGGGCAGGGAAATGAGGATTTTATACCCTCGGGGCTGGGAAATGAGGATTTTTACACCCTCGGGGCTGGGAAATGAAGATTTTTACACCCTCGGGGCTGGGAAATGAGGATTTTTACACCCTCGGGGCCAGACATCAGATTTAGGGAAAAAAAGGAATTTTTTCCAGGCTCAGATTTGGTCTCGGGCTCATCCAAGGCGTCCTGGGCCCTCTCGTGGCTGCTGGGGACAGGGCACAATAATTTCATTTATTCTTTACCCAGCACCCAGTTCGTGCTATTGGAAGGAGATTTTTGGATTTGGAGTGCAGAAAATCCATCTGCTGCACACAAATGTCCTCAAAAATGAAATGTTTGGAGCAGCTCCAGGGCACGGGAACGGCAGGATATTATAAAATAATGATAGATAAGAATGGTAAATGTTAATTAATAATAATTAGTTCCTCAGGGAAGCCTCCCGCAGGATCCTGGGATGGGGAGGTTGGAATTTCCTGCACCTGAAAGATTTTACCCGGGGAGCCAAAGTGAGAGGAGAAATCCAGGAAATTCACCCCAAATGCAACTGCAGGATTCCCAAAAAAATGTATATTTTACAGCACAGAGAACTGGGCAGAACAGAAAGCAGCGAGAAGCTGCTCCTCCTTTGTGTCTGAAAAAGGACAAAAGCCAAACTTAGAGACCTGAGGAATTTAGATTTACCTGTTTTCCCCAGTTTTTAGAGCCCACAGACAGGGGAAGCTGCTGATTTGATACAGGAGCCCCAAACCAGCTGCTCTTCCTTCTGCTCCACTGCTGCAAAAGGAAAAACTTACCTGGAACAACAACCCAAACTTATCCTTTGTGCTGCTACATCAGGGCAGTTAAAAAGGCCAAAAAAAAAAAAAATTAAAATTATTTCTTTTTATCTGCAAGGAAATGTTTATTCTTTGTAAACCCCACAGAAAAAGAGGATGCAGCCAAAACCAAGGAGTGAACAAAAAGGGTGTTCACAGCAAAAAGGGGGGACCTGAACACAAAAATCAGGGACAATATTCCATGCTCTGCACAGGATGGAAAACCTCTGAGCAGCACCTCCGTGGTGACAAGGACACCACAGCAATGCACACCTGGCTAAAGCTGGCAGCCCAGGGGACTCAAAGGATGAAATTTGGGTTTTTCTACTGGCTTGAGCGTCCTACTCCTTTCTCGTTGTTGTTCCATGAGGCAATGTGCCAATTAACACAATCATTAAAAAAAAAATTAATTATTTTCTTTTCAGAACTTCCAGAGCCCACTGCATGTCTGTCAAATCCTAAAGCTGGGGCTGGATTTTCTCTTGGTTTCCCTCCCCTCCCAAACTCTAACCCACTGCAGGAGTTACCAGTGCAAAAAAAAAAAAACCTTTCTGTGGGGGTTTTTAATTTTTAAATTTCTGCAATTTGAAAACTCCTCAATCAAAACCCCAAACTCCTTGGCTGAAGGTCTGGAAATCACTGAGGCAGAAGGGGAGATAAAGGGTAAAGGACAGCTGAATGAAATAAAAAACCCCAGCAGTGCAGCTTTTATTGGGCAGCTTTACAGGGTCTCGTGTACAGAACATTGCACAGCTCCACCTTCACCCTCCCAGGGCAGAAGCAGCCCAGAAGAACTCCTGGGTTTGGGGAAAAAGAACCAGGGGATGGAGCCTGGCAGCCAAGCACCACGAGCAGCTCGCAGCAGGCTCTGTATGAGCTTTGAGACAGGAGCTGGATGACAGTGAAGGGGGGGAAAAATAAGTTTAAACCATCAAGTTTCCTCTTGAAATGTCTTTTCCCAAGGCACTGTGAACAAGAGTGTTTAGCAATTCTCTGTGACTAAAAAACACCAATGGGGATATAAATATTTCACACAACAAGCACCATCACATCATCAGCTAGTCTTTATTCCTTCCCTTCAACAACGCCCCTGGAATTTGTTTGGTCCTTTGAGGGGGGGAAAATCAAATTATCTTCTGCGACATCCACGTGTTTGTATTTAATACATCTATAAATCAAAGCTTTGTTGGGTTGTTTAACCCTTTCGCTGGGAAAACCGAAGGGTTTTCCTCACTGGATGAATCTGCAAATCCAAATCGTTAAATAAAAAACTGAGGAGAAAGGGTTCAAAACCAAGCAAAGCCCCGTGGTATTTTTTTTTTTTCAAGAGGAAACCATGCAAGAGTACATAAAAAGGCAAAAATTGGCTACTTGAAAACCAAGAATTGTTTTTAATGCGTTGGCCGAGGAAAACAAATCGAAGAGTTCTGTGAGGTTTTCTAAAAATTTACAAGAAAAACCGATGGGCAGCTCTAGTCAATGCTCTTTTCTCCTGCTGGAAACGACAACAAACACAGTCCCACACGAAACAATTTCATCTCGACTGCAGGAGAGCCCTGGGGGCTCGGGGAACCTTGGCATTCCCTCATTTCTTCAGGGGCTGGTAGACAGAGGCGTTGGGGTCGAGTCCAGAGGGGCTGGGCTCCACAAATTTGGAGGAATAGTGGGGGGACACGGGGCTCAGGGTGCTGGTGGCTGCAGTGTAGCTGATGCTGGGCATCACTGCCATCACCTCTGCGATCTTCTGCTTCAGCTCCTTGATCTCCTGGTCCTTCTGCAGGATCTGCCCTGCGAACAGCGAAGCACAGCAAGGCTCAGAACCTGCCCAAAAGCTTCCCTGCAAGCCCAGCCTGGCACCTGCACCACCAGGGGCTGTGCTGGGTTATCTCCATTTAACCCTGGCACCACCACGGGGCTGTGCTGGGTTATCTCCATTTAACCCTGGCACCACCACGGGGCTGTGNTTAACCCTGGCACCACCACGGGGCTGTGCTGGGTTATCTCCATTTAACCCTGGCACCACCACGGGGCTGTGCTGGGTTATCTCCATTTAACCCTGAACCACCACAGAGCTGTGTTTAATTATCTCCATTTAACCCTGGCACCATCACAGAGCTGTGTTTGATTATCTCCATTTAACCCTGAATCACCACAGAGCTGTGTTTGGTTATCTCCATTTAACCCTGAATCACCACAGAGCTGTGTTTGATTATCTCCATTTAACCCTGGCACCATCACAGAGCTGTGTTTGGTTATCTCCATTTAACCCTGAATCACCACAGAGCTGTGTTTGGTTATCTCCATTTAACCCTGGCACCATCACAGAGCTGTGTTTGGTTATCTCCACTCAGCACAGAACAAAACTCAACCCTCCCATGGTCATTTTGCATTATTTGGACTCACAGCTGCACCACCCCCAAAGATTAATTCTATTTCGTCTCATTTTTCTGCCTTTTTGCCATCCCCCTTCTCCAAACTCCTCACAAATGCCCAAGTATGTGCTCCTAAAAGCTGTTAATTTTCCAAACTGTCCCATTCCCACCTGAGCTTTCACACCACCACCACAGCAATTCCTGAAACCAGGTGATGCAAAAAACCCTCTGCTGAAACAAAACTAAACTATTGCTCCCTCTAATTAAATATTGCTGCCATCAAACAACCTTCTGCAGGGCAATTAAGCTGGTGTTAAATGCAGAGTTTTGAATGTTGCTCCATGGTTTGCACAGCTGCACAAAGCCTGGGCTGGGTTTTATGTTGGTTTTCTGCTCCCTCTGGTGGCATCACCACACTTCCCTCACCTGCTGAGAGTTAAATCAGCTTGGGTTCTCCCCAAATTTAGGTTTTATTTACTTGAGGAGTAATAAAATGTTATTATTAGGATGACAGGACAGCAGCTTAATAACAAGCTTAATTTAATTTATCTGTTTTTTAAAGAGAGTTCTTTAAAGACCTCCAGCTCCTTGTAATGGTTTATAAACATGCAGAAAATAATCAGGAATTAATTTAAACACCAATTTTAATGTTCATTATCAGTTGGATGGGCTGGGAAGGTGAGCTCAGATGGTTTCAGCTCCACATTGCCACGGCTGGAAATGCCAAATTCTCCCTGAGAAATCCCAGGATTTCCCCCCAGGTACCTTGGGCAATCTCCAGCTGCCTTTTTGCATCTCCCAGGGCAGAGAAGAGGTCCAGCTTGATCCTGGTCTCTGCACTCAGGCTGTTCTCCAGGTGCTGGGTCTTGTCCTGCATGGCTGAGAGTGCTGACATCAGCACCTCCGTGTCCTTCTCGTTCTCCTTGTACTTCCTCAGCTCCTGCAGGGGAAACTGGGGCTGAGAAGGGCAGGAATGGCACCCTGGGGGCAGGAATGGCACCCTGGGGCAAAAAAAATATCACCCTGGGGGCAAAAAGTGGCATCCTGGGGGAAAAAATGTCACCTTGGGGGCAAAAAATGCCAGCCTGGGGGGGGACAAATGCCACCTTGGGTGACTTCACACAGCAGACAGACCCAGGAGTCTTTCCCCTTCCCCACACTGGGCCTGGCATTAATTAAAATGCTGGTTAATTAAGGTTACCTGCAGTAAGCACCCTGCAAGTGATTAAAGCTGATTACAGCACCGTTTTCTCCGGGCTGTGACCCTCCACCCAAAATCCCTTTGCAAGGGGGTGGGAACGTTTCCCTCAGGAAAAAGCTGGAATCCCAGAGCTGGGAATGTTGGAAAAGGCCTCTGGGAGCAGCAAATCCAACTCAAATTCATCCCCAAGTGCCACATCTGGACAGTTTTTTTTTGGACATTCCATCACTGGGCAGCCCCTTGCACAGCTTCACAAGAACATGGAAAAAGCTTTCCTAAAATCCAATCTAAATAGCTGATTAAAGGGATTGTTTGTATCTCACATTAAAATCTCACTGTGCTGCAATGGCAGAAATTAAGGAAAGAGAAAAACAGGGAGAAATTATCCTGGCAACCTCTGGCTGGGGAAAAAATACAAAAATATTCTACACCTTCAAATGGAGGGACAACAGTGCAAAGGGGAAAACAAAAAGCTTCTCTAACAGTTTGAAGATGCCCATAAAATTAAAAAGCTTAATTAGAGCTGGGTTTAATTATCTGAAAGCCATGCTCAAACACTCCAGGGATAAGCCACACTCGTTGTCAAGGGTTTGGTAAATCCAGGGACAACGAGGCTGCACCTGTGATTGGGAAACAAGTCCACAGCAGCACCAGGTGGGTTTTGAAAGGCATTAAAAATCCATTTTCATGCAGATTGTCAGTCTGAGCACATCTTTAGGACAGGAATAAGGGCACACATTTGAGCTCTTTAGCTGTGACAAACCCAACCCTGTTTGCTGCAGATCTGCCACAAAGTATTTTCAATATTCAGGCACTTCCACAAAAAACAAAACCAAACAAAACCAAACCAGCCTGGCCAGTGCTCCAGACTGCCCTGAATCAGCAACCTTTAGAGGAATTTATGATTTATTAAAATGGGACTGGCCACAGGCTCCTTGCATGAGCAGAAAAATGCTATTGAGGGGATTCTACCCTCAGCCCACACAGACCAGTGGGTCTGGGGGAAAAAAATCCCCTTTTAACCAACAGAATGGTGTGGAAGGAGCTCTGGAGCCATGGAAGGGTTTGGATGGAGCTCTGGAGCCAGGGAATGGTGTGGATGGAGCCATGGAAGGGTTTGGATGGAGCTCTGGAGCCATGGAATGCTTTGGATGGAGCTCATGGAATGCTTTGGATGCAGCTCTGGAGCTCATGGAATGGTGTGGATGGAGCTCTGGAGCCAGGGAATGGTGTGGATGGAGCTCATGGAATGCTGTGGATGGAGCTCATGGAATGTTTTAGGGATGCAGCTCTGGAACCATGGAATGCTGTGCATGGAGCTCTGGCCCTGCTCCTGCCCTCACCCCGCCCAGCCTGGGGCAGGACGTGCAGGAGCTGCACCCCCCAGGCACTGCTCTGAGGCAGATGCAGGGATCTGGGAGCCATCCTTGCATCTGCCCCGAGCCCCTGGAGCTGTGGCATTACCTGAACTTTGATTTCCAGCTCTCTGATCTGATCCTCTTTCAGTTTGATGTCCAGGGTGAGCTTCTTGCACTCCGTCTCCAGCTCGCGGATGCGATTCCGCAAGGTCTCGGTGCACTCCCCTCTGCAGGGGGACAGGAGGTGAGACAACAGCAGGGGAGACAACAGGAGGTGAGACAACAGCAGGGGAGACAACAACACCCACCTAACTGCCCCTCCCCAGCTGCTTGCAGCAGCAAAAATTAAAATAAAAGCTGAAGCATGACAAGAAGAAGCCAGCTTTGGTCTCCTCAGCACAGCGCTTCCCCTCACAGCAATGCAGGTGTTACACCTCAGGTACTGGGAGATTTGGAATATTGATGAAATATTCAATATTCCAACTGATGAGAGATTCATTCCTTTCTGGGGAGGGCAGAAATGCAGGAATATATCTTTTCAGACATTTGGAGCCCTGCAGGTTGAGGTGAGCCCAGGTTGTGCTGCTGTGGGGCTGAGGAACCCCGCTGTGCTGAGCACTGGGAGCCACTGCCCCAGCAGGAAAATTCCAGAATTATGGCCATATAATGTCCCAAATCCTTGATTCCCACGTGGAAGGAGATGCTGCTTTGAGCAGGACACAGAACACCCTCCAGGAACAGCAGGTAACTCAGAGCACACTCATCCTTTACACCTGTAAATGTCACGTGGAAGGGATTGGCACCTCCCAGCCCTGCCTTGTTTTAACACAAATGAGCCTCTCAACGCAAATAAAGCTGTTTTGTTTTTTTTTTTTAAATAAAAGATTTTTTTAAAATAAAAGATCAAGCCCAGGCTCCTCCTTCCCAGCCCAAAGCTCCCAAGGGCAGAGCACCTGGTAGCAGCAGCAAAGGCCACAGCTCGTGCAGCAGTTGCTTCTTCCAACTTCTTCCTTTTCTTCTCTTCCATTAATTGTTTTTCTACAAAGGTTCGTGCCTCCTGCTCTGCCTTTAGCTTCTTCTCCAGCTGGCTGATCATTTGTTTGTCTTTTTGTTTCATCTGTACAGCGTTGTGCAATCTGCAGGGGGACAGGAGAGACCTTAAAATCTGCCTGGATTTGCCTCCCATTTTAGGATTATTTAACACAAAAATCCCCCTTTACAGCCCCCAGGGCAGTGGCACCCATTTGTTATAAATGACAATACAGTTGGCTTTGGCATTTATATATTTGCATTTACCAGTTATTATCAATCACAAAGATTTGAATATAGCCCAGTTTGTAATCCCTTTAACTGCTTTTCAATATAGTATAATCTCTCAGCTAAAGTTTTCTTTATACCCTTTTAAAGTTTTGAGGCTGCTTTGCCTTCCTCCTAATCCCATCTCACAGGAAGAAATGAGGAAATAACTCCAGAGGGTACAGGGGCATTTGGCCAACATTGGCCCCACATGTAAACTGGAGAGAAATCTCCAATTGGCCAACCAAAACCACGACACAAAATGGGTTTTTCTGCCTGCTTTGAACTGAAACTGCCACAGTTATATATGTATATATAAAATAAATATTTATCCCTTATTAAACTTTTAGAAATGGAGAAGAGTAAGCCTTGTTTCTGTCTTAGGCTGCAAGATGTGGCTGGGGTGTGAATTCTATTCCTATCTGTTCTTTAGACAGTTTTCTTCATCTCTCCCACAGCCAATCCTCCCTCCAGGAGACATCTCCTTTTAATGGCTCATTAATTATTAATTATCTTATGTTAATGGACCATTAATTATTAATTATCTCCTGTTCATGGGCCAGTGAGTGTCACTGCATGGCTGAGAAAATTCCATCATCATGGGGAGATGCTCCAGGGGGAGGAGACAAGCATTCCTACCTGGGTACAATCTGAGATTTTGGGATACCAGAGCAGCCTTTTCCCCCTGCATTCCCAGAGGAGCAGCTTCCTTCCCCCTGCATTCCCAGAGGAGCAGCTTTCTTCCCACTGCATTCCCAGCTTTCTTCCCACTGCATTCCCAGCTTTCTTCCCCCTGCATTCCCAGAGGAGCAGCTTTCTCCCCCTGCATTCCCAGAGGAGCCCAGGCCCATCTCCCCCAGCCCTGGAGCTCCAAGGAAAACTCCCCCCTTGTGCAGATCCTGCTCCAGCAGAAGCACAGCTGGCACTGCAGGAGGGCTGAGCCCCCCTGGGATGGGGCTGAGCCACTCCCTGCCCACAGGCTGCCACCCGCGCTGGCAGTGCCGCTGTGCATTCCCGCGTTCCCGTTTTTATAGGATTTCCATCCCTGCCCGGGAGCCCCTCGGCTCACACAGGGCGGTCCCGCAGAGGGGAGGGGACCCCAGGGTGCCAGCCCAGGGGGTGCCACCTACTTGTTCTGCAGCAGCTCGTTCTCCTGGCGCAGCTGGCCCGTCTCGGCGCGCGCGCCGCGCTCGGCGGAGCTCAGCGAGCTCAGCTGCCCGCGCAGCTCCTGCTCCACCTGCCTGCTGGCCTGCAGGTCGGCCTTCAGCTTCTTGATGTCCTGCTCCAGCCTGCGGGCACAAAGCACAGCGCCGCGTTGGCCGGGCACGGGCACCGGGCACGGGTACCGGCACCGGGCACCGGCACCGGGTGTGCCAGGTGCTTTGGTGGGGCTCTGCTTCCTCTGCCAGAGCGCCACCGGGCAGCTTCTGCATGGCTCATTTATGTTAGATGATATGTTTATATAATGTATTAGATATGCTTGTGTGATATAAAATATCATGTAAGCATATGTAATATAATGTTTTCTATCATATAAGAATATACAATATAAAATATTATATATGTGTATATGATATAAAATATTATAGCATGTAAGCATATATAATATTTTATATCATATAAGCATATACAATATAAAATAGTATATTATATATGTGCATATGATATAAAATATTATAGCATGTAAGCATATATAATATTTTATATCATATAAGCATATACAATATAAAATAGTATATTATATATGTGCATATGATATAAAATATTATATAATGTAAGCATATATAACATTTTCTATCATGTAAGCATATATAATATTTTATATCAAATAACCTATATAATATAATATTTTCTACCATATAAGCCTATATAATATTTTCTGTCATATAAGCATATATAATATAAAAATTATATTATATATGTGTATATGATATAAAATATTATATCATATTTTCTATCATGTAAGCATATGTAATATAATATTTTCTATCATGTAAGCATATGTAATATAATATTTTCTATCATGTAAGCATATACAATATAAAATATATATGTGTATGATATAAAATATTATATCATATAAGCATATATAATATAATATTTTCTATCATATAAGCCTATATAATATTTTCTGTCCTATAAGCATATATATTTTCTATCATGTAACCATATAAAATATTTTCTATCATATAAACATATATAACACAATATTCTCTATCATATAAACATATATAATATTTTCTGTCATATAAGCATATATAATATTTTCTGTCATATATATAATATAATATACTCTACCATATAAGCATATATAATATAATCTTTTCTATCATATAAACATACATTATATATTTTTATATATATATAGTAAATACAGGCAAACCCAATGGGAAGAAATGACAATGTCTGACTCAATTCAGAAGGCTGAATGATTTCTTTATTATCACTATGCTAAAATACATTAATATACTATATAAAAGGAAGATATTAAAACTACACACTACTTTCTCTAACACAACTCGTGCCCCTCTCTGAGCCCAGCCCCAGGTGGGTTGGATTGGCCACCAGGCTCAAACAATCCTCACCAGAATCCAACCACTCACCCCAGGGAAACAATTCTCCAAACACATTCCACATGGGAAAAACAAAGAGAAAATCATTTTTATTTCTGCTCTTTGTTTTCTCTCTGTGCACCTCTATGAAAAATCCTGAGTGAGAGAAATGTGCTTGCCATATATATATATATTATATATTCTAATATATATTTATTTATTATATGTACTATATAACACATTATATTTATGTAATATAAAACTAAAATAGATGGGTATTCTCCGTTCAGTCAGAGAGAAAGGAGAGTTTCTAACCAGGCTAGAGCCTGGGAGAGAGTTGCAAAGGAATGGAAATAATTCTCTATCCCTCTTGTTGTTCACATTGTTTATAGATATGTTCTGCCACCGTGTGTCACTCGCTGCACACCAATGGTGTGAGATGTTTTTACTTTGAGAACAATGAATCAGCCTGCAGGATGCTCTCTAGAAAAGAGTGAAGTATTTGAAATAAAGTTAGTTAGTGTTCACATCATCTAACCTTCTGAACTGTTCTTTCATTCCCGTCCTGCCTCAACGGCGACACATAATATATAAATATATTATATATAAATATATCTTAGACCATAGCATAATATTAAAATAGGCATTTAACATCTCACAGTCTCTTTTCCACATAACTAACTCAGAAGAGTGCACAATAATGAGATGATTCCCTACAATTGTGGGCTATCTTACCTGAAAGGTAACAGGGGCAAAAAGCAGAACACCTAAAGGAAGAATTTATTGACTCTTCATTATCAGGGAGTGTAAAAACAACAGGATGGAGTGTAAAAAACAACAAGAAGACATAAAATATATTGCTCTAATGACCAGTCAAAGATTAAAACCAAGCAAGGAAATCCCTGAAACATCTCCACTCATAAGAATGTTTGCATAATGTATAAAACTCATGAATATGTATGTACCCCTGGAATGGAACAGTATATATAGAATATTGTTTTACCCTAACAGTGATTTTTCTGGCCCATCACCAAAAGCACCCCAGAGCTGGGTATTTGTCCCTTATTAAACTTTTAAAAATCCTGAAGAGTGCACTTTGTTTTGGAGACAATTCCAAAGGACACTCCCAGCTTCCTGCCCGCTCAGGCACAAAACCAGCAGAACAAACCTCAAACCTTCATCCTCCAAACATCCAACCCTCACCATCCTCCGACTGTGTCCTGGCTAAAAAATCAGCTTTTCTGTAGCTCCACCTAGAGCCACACACACCTCGAGCCTCCCACAGGAATTCACCGTCGAGTGCTGCAAGAAATCCTCTGGAATTACATTTCCCTCAAGTCTGAGAAGCTCCAAAGCAGGACAGAGCCACACAGAGCCAGGTTCCATTCTGGCCACAAAGGCTGAGTTTGATTTGCTAGCCAGAGATGAGCTGTGAATTGTGTATAGCTCATTTATATTATATAAATATATAATACTTTTTATTTTATATATATATATATATGTATATATTATAATATATAATCTATAATATATCTATTATATATAGAATACATTATAATATATCTATTATAGTCTATCTATTATATATATAATACATTATATCTATTATAGTCTATCTATTATATTATATATATAATACATTATAATATATCTATTATAGTCCATTATATATATATATATATATATATATATATATATATATATATATATGTATAATATCATATACCAACGTATTGGTATTTTCTTGCAGCACATGATGTGCATGCCGAGCAAGAGGATGTGTTAAGTCATCCCTAGCTCAGGAGTCAGTAAATTTAGTTTTAATTGCTCTCGAACAGAGACCATCTGCTCTCTACACTTGAAATTGTAGCTTTGGAAAGTTCTTGAAGATTCATGTAATCTTTTTAATTAAAATATTGTTGAATAAAAACACACGTTTCGGAGGAGAGGCACTCAGCTCACTTTGATTTTCCCCCCACAAATCAGGTTATTGATTCTTAGAATAAAAGCACATCACAGGTGAATAATCAACATTTTTAAACCCTGTTACACACTTATTGAAAGCAAACACACCCCAGCCATTCTCACACGATCCTCCTTTGCTCTGCCAGCTATTGATCTGAGAGTTTTTACAAGTCCATAAAGAAGATGAAGGTGCTTTTATTTCCAAGCTTCCACTCTGAATTAGTGGCAGCAGGACATTAAGACCAGGAGAACAAGCACAAAAACCAGAAAGTGCTGCCCCTGGTGACACTCAGCAGTGCAGATGAATGGCTGCACCTTTCTGGCTTCTTAATGAAACCTTTTTGGGCTTCAGGGCAGGGAAAAATCAGCCAGAAAGGCACAGAGAGATGAGCAGGGAGAGCACCCTGTGCCCCTGAGTGCAGAGGGGAGGTGTGGGGTCAGCAAGGCTCTGCAAATCCAGGGAAGTGGGTCTGGAACAGCTCAAACAGCCCAGGGAGGAGAGAGGGGCAAGGAGGAGCAGCCCCAGAGGGGGCTGGAACACCTCAGAGCACTTCATCTCACCCCTCCTGCCCCTCCAGCACCATGGAAGTGCCCTCCTGGGAAAATAAATTCCCACAGTACTCCAAAAACAGCCAAGAGCACCCTCAAACGGGAAAGAAAAAAATCAGCTTACAGGCAAATAGTAAAAATAGGCACCTCAAAGGGAAGTGCACAAATCACTTCAACGCCTGGTGCTCTGCTGAGGGAAAGGATTTGCAAACCCCACCAAATATTCCAACCTCAGCCCCCAAATGGGAACAGCAGCAGCTGGCTTTAGGTGAGTGGGGCCACCCTGTGCAGTGCTAAATGATGGACAGGGCAAAGAAATCAGAGTTTCACTTCATCTGCCAAAAAAGCAGCAGCGCAGTGTTTGAGAGAGAGCAAATGTTTTAATTAAGCTGTAGCACCACTACCAGACTGGGCTGTGCAAACAGCTGATTGGTTTTAATCCAGGTTTCCATAAATAGGTGGGAAAATGCAGTTTCAATAGAGGAATGCACCCAAATCCCACTTGACACTGGCCCAGAAATAATTTCACCATCCATGGCTCCAGCGAAGCAATAATTGAAGATAAGAGCTGTAAATAGCTTTACCTGTAGCTCAGACTCTAACAAACAGATACCCCAGATTTATTTTGGGTATTGAGTATTCCAGGAAAAGAAGCCCTGAGCAGATAAAGCCTGAAGAGCTCCGAGGTGCTGGCACAGGACTGAGGCCACAGGCACAGCTCTCCCTGCTGTGTATGGGACTGGTGGGATGGGGCAACACCCACCAGACATCACCCCACAGAAAATTCCTCTCTGGCCAGTCAATGCCACAAAAAAAAAAACCACTGGAAACTGCTTGATCAGTGGGCTTGTTTGGAATGAGGTTTTACAGTAAGATTTTAGCAGGTTTTAATTTCCCCTTTTTCATTACACTGAAGGATTTGTTGCAGCTTTAAACAGCAGAGCAGAGAATATCTGTTTTCTGCCAATTACAGAGCAAGTGCAGGCTCCTTTCTCCCTAAAACGAGAGGAAGATCACAATCCATCACCATGCAAAGAATTCCTGGGTGGCTTCTCTCCCAGAGCCACCCCAATTAGGCAGACACAAGTTCATTAAGAAGGAGAAAACAAGAAGGGAGTTACCCCTCAGACCCACAGGTGCTCCCTGCACTGTCACAGAGGTCACCTCTCCCACAAGAACATTAACACCACTCCAAAACAAAAGCACATCAGGGTAAACCAACACAAAGGCATAAAAAATCCTCAATTCTGGCATCAAAAAAGCAGGACAGGGGAGCAGGGCAGGCCTCCCCCCTCTGGAACAGCCTGCATTGCTGCTACAATGATAAATGACCCCTAAACCAGCATTATTGTTATTTTTGCACTGATTTCATTTGCTGCTTAAGTCACTTATTTCCTTATTATTGGAGAATGTTATTTACAGAGGAGGGGGAGCAAAAGCCGGGTTCTGGAAGATGTTTTTCCCTGCTGCTGCACACATCAGCACTCACTCTGACACAGAACTGCTTTTAAATGAGGCTTTAGTTGCAGATTATGTTGTGCTGTTTATACAAGCGAGGTCAATTCCTTCCGTTTGTCATTGCTAACTGCAGATTTACCCATTTCCTCTGCTGAGCACCACCTCCTGCCATTCCTGGTGAGGAGAATTAATCAGGGATCACCTCGGAGAGGGAGCATTTTCCCAAATGCCTCGGGGGAGATTGGTGGATGAACCTCAAGACAACTCAATTCAGCTTTAATGCTCCCCAGCATTGACATCTGGGTGCTCAGTTTACTCCATCCCATAATCACCTGGCAACTGCACTCAAATGAAACACGGCCTATATAAAAATGCTCATTTTAAAGTACCCACAAGGCTCTGAGATGCTCTCCAAAAGCCCCAGGTCTGCCTGGCACAGCAGCCCCTGCAGTGAAGCTGTTCTTTCTGTGCCCCTGCTGGGGCTGACAGCTCTCCCTGCACTCCCCAAAATCCAGGAACCCCCAAAATCCAGGAGCTTCCTTTCCCTGCTGGGACTGACAGCTCTGCCTGCACTCCCCAAAATCCAGGAATTCCCAGAAATCCAGGAGCCTCCTTTCCCTGCTGGGACTGACAGCTCTGCCTGCACTCCCCAAAATCCAGGAGCCTCCTTTCCCTGCTGGGACTGACAGCTCTCCCTGCACTCCCCAAAATCCAGGAATTCCCAGAAATCCAGGAGCCTCCTTTCCCTGCTGGAGCTGCTCCCAGCAGCTGCCATTTCCAAACCCTGCTCTGTTCCTGAGCTCTCTGCTGCCTTGGGAAGGGGCTGCAGGAGGGATTGGCTCCCACACTCCTCATTTACATTCCCAATCCTGATTTTCTGTTTCGTGCTTGCCTTCCTGGGGCAGGAGACCTTGGCCATCACCCCCCTGCAGCTGACACAGGAAACCTGCTGCTGCTTTAATGCCACTCCAGGCAGGGGGGTGAGCAAGAGGCACCAGCCCCTCTCTGCCCATCAGTGATGTCACCAAATTGCACAATATTAGCACCAAATGGCCACAAATGCCCATTCAAACCTCCCAGTCTGTCTCTGCAGGTAACACCATTTTAGGAAAGTGGAATAAGCTGTGGCAGAGCAGCTTTTGCTTCACCAAAGAATTTTCCCAGCCCAACTGCCAGATGATGTCCTCGTTATCTGTGGCAATAATTAGTACATGAGACAGCTTGTTCATCACCTCGTGTGCCAAAGGCAGGACCTCTGTGGATACAGCCAGTTCTGCCAAGCTGCACTGCCAGGTTTTTTTGTGTGGTTTTAGTGCAGGGATTTTTAAGGGTGCTGAAAGGCAGAGGCAGGTCATGGGTTTTGCAGTGTAATGTGCAATAAACAACAAAAAAATAATTCTGCAGCAATTACAGCTTGGACTTGTTCCATACGTTGAGGCTGTAAATCTGTTTCACCTCAGAAATGACAGTGAAATGTAGAAGAAATGAATCTGCTATGCACCTCCTGACAAACAACAAAGTCAGCAAAGGGACACCAGGCTGATCCCAAATGGATCCAGAGCTGGGAGAGAAGCACTCAGATCACAGAGGTTCAGTGATGAAGGGCTTGACAAGCTCCAGCAGAGTCCAGCACCCTCAGGAGATGTCACAGAAAACCCCAGAGGTCCCTGAGCTGCTGGGACTCCTCAGCTCTGGCCAGCAAGAATGGAACAATCCCCAGGGATGGGCATCAGGAAATTCCTCTCCACAAAACCAAACACTCAGGCCCTGACATTCCACCAGGCAGAGCAACAAGAAAAGCTTAGCTTCAAATAAGAGCATGTATAAAATATATAAACCTCAACTAGCAGGATAGATTCCAGACAGATCACATCAAGTATTTCAAAATTAACAACCCTGTAAAAATCCTGGTCTCCAAAACCCCCGGATCTTGACTGTCTCCAGCCCTGCTAATCCCAAGTCCAAGCAGCAGAAGGAATATTTCACATTTGCTCCTGGTTACTCAGCTCAGGGCCATCATCTGTGGACACAAAAGGAAAGCAGCTCAGGTCTGCCATCCTGCTGAGAGGCTGCTGGACACCCAGCTAGAAAAAGTAGCTTTATTTGGAAGCTGAGCAGATCTGAGCTGAGTCTGAACAAATGCAGGACTTCACTCGGCCCTTTTCAGGCTCCAGCAGCAATGCAGACTGAAAGTTTAATAACAGGAATGAGTAACACTCCTGGAAGTGGAAAAAATGATGAACAGATGCCTGGAACTCCAGGGACGGGATAATTGACAAGGTTAAAATAAAAAAGCACCATGAATTTTTAAATTTAAGTGCATCCATCCCATCCAATTTGTCAGGTGAGTTTCTGCTCCCACTGCTGTGGGATTTACACAGCCAGGCTGAGCAGAAAGAGGATTTCATGAATGACTCCAGGCAGCAGCTGGAGCAGGATGCTGGGGTTTGGTGCTCCTGGGCTGCCTGCACAGGGACATCAGGGACCAGAAACAGCTCCAGGGATTTGTGGCACAAGTCCACACCCCAAAACCACTAGTCTGAAGGAGTTCCATTCCCTCTCAGGGCAGAATAAGGCCCTTTCAGAGTACACCTGTGTTCTGTGTCCTTCCCCAGCGAGTTCCAGGAGCTGGAATTCCCTCAGGATACCATCTGTTTTGTTGCAGACTCGTTTCTGTGGTCCCTGTTCTGTGACCACCTGCTCCAAGCTCCCCCATAAGGATTTCAAGAGGAAATGGAAGCTTTAAACACAGCAGGTTTAACTCTGAGTCCCTGTCCCAGGCACACAATCCTCAGGCTGGCAGCTCATCCCTTCCCTCTGCTCAAGGCTTAGGAATGTTTGGAACTGCAGCAAACTGAGCTGACCCTTCTGTCCCTCAAGGAGGGAGCAAACAAAGCTGATGGAGGGTGCAGAGCTGCCAGCTGAGCAGGGAACCCCCAGGCAGCCCATCAGACCTGTCACACATCAGCCCCGCTGGCTGCTCTCTGGTTTGCCTCACACAGCCTCTCGACAGACATTAGGTATCAATTAGCCCGGCTGTTTAATTGGCAGGGGTATGTCAGTCAGGCTAGAGGGGAAAATAATATTTCCATTGAAGTAATTGTGTTCCCACAGCACAAATCCTCGGAGATAAAAGCCCAATTATCAAAGGTACCTGCAGGGAAAACAAGCTTGATGTGCCAATTGAGCTGGCCAACACCGATCTGGTGGAGTAAGGAATAAGAGACACGAGCCAGGTGGAAAATGCAGGAGAAGGGCAGAACTGTGGAACAGTTTTTGTTCCACACATCTCTCCACGCAGAGTCACAGCACACGACACCACCATCAGTGCCAGGGTGAGCCACTGCACCTCGCAGAGCCAGCTCCCTCTGAACTTCCCAGGAGCAGAGGCAAAGCTGGGACGTTTCCATGCTGACAGATCCCCAGGGCTGTGCCTGCACAGGGCTGTGAGCAGAGCTGAACTCAAGCTCCACACCAGCCTTGCCTCCCTGCCTCCACGCTTGGAATTGGAGATTAAAGCAAAAGCCAAACACTTGAAAGGAAAAACAAAACCAAACCACCTGTTCTGTCACCAGCAAACCCCAGTGAACTCCCTGGAGAGGCAGAGGTCGCACCACAGAAGAGCTGCCAAGGACAGATGAGCTGATTTTCTCACGTTTTCCTCCTGCTTTCCACCAGAGTATTTCTGTGCCTCACAACAGAGCTGTGAGCTAGGGGAGCAGCAGATCCTGAGCCAGAAATGAAGCAACCTGCTCCAGGCTGCATAGCAAACAAAAACCAGGAACACAGCTCCACACATCTCCTGGAGATCTCATCCCACCACTGCACAATTCTGCCTTCTCTAGGTGATCATAAGTGACATTTTTTCCATGTGATCATAAATGACATTTTCCTAATAAAAAGCAAACGAAGCCTCTGAGTCCTGATGAACCAAGGGATCATAAATGACATTTTCGCATGTGATCATAAATGACATTTTCCTAATAAAAAGCAAATGAAGCCCCTGAGTCCTGGTGGACCAAGGAAGGATGAGACAAGGCTCAGGCCCAACTTACCTTACCAGTGCATCTGGTTTGCTTAGCTGGTTATTAGGAATACAGTTTTCCATTAAGTCCTTATGTGTGCTCGGGCTCTTGCTGGCACATTTCTGTTTTTTCTCATTTTTAGAGGATGAGGAGGGGATGCTCCCGTTGGTTGCACTGTGGCTGCGGGGTGAGGAGTTCACAACCCCACTGACATTTTTGTAGTTTTTGGACGAGGCAGTGCATGAGTCCTCTTTCAAGAGGTTTTCTGTACTTCCTACAAGATCATTATTTAATCTTTTACTATTGATATGGTTTTCCATATATTCAATTTCTTGTATTTTAGAGTCTACAGGTTGCAAAATATTGTTGTTTATTCCAAGGTTGTGTTTCTTTGCATCTTTGTCCTTTTCTTTCCCTTTTTCTCGATACTCCAGCTCTGGCAACGTTGCAGAGATTTTTTTATTGGCTGGAATTCCTCCATTGTGCTGCAGGAGTATTGAGGAATCCATATCAGATAATCCTTTGGCTGCTGCAACACCAAAGTGAAAAAAAACCAACTTAGTTCATTAAATCCATCAATACCGTGCCACAGAAAGAAAAATCATTATGGACACATCCATCATTCCTGCAGGAAACGATCAGTATTGGAGATTCTCTAGAAAAGAGAATCCAAAGTCACCTATTTTAAGGCTTTTTGCCTCATTCTAGGCAGGAAAGAGGGATTTAATAATAAATACTAGAGCTTCACACAATGCTGACTGACAAGAGTGATGCAGCTGCTAATGAAGAACCAGCCAGAGGGGCCACAATTCCCTTTTCTTGCCACATGAACCCCTCCAAACTGATTTCATTTCTGAGCTCACCACACTCCCACCAAAGCAGGCCAGGCTGGAGCAGCACACCAGGGCTTTGTTTCCCTTGGAACAGCAGAGAACAGAGCACACATGAGGGAATCACTTGCCTTCCTCTGCCTCCCTCTCTTGCCTTTGCAGCATCTGCTGCTCTGGGGGCAGTGCCTGCTGCAGGAGCTGCATGTAGAACTCGTTCTCCTTCTGCACCTCCTTCTGCTTCCTCAAACGCATCTTGTAGCTGACGTAACTTTTAAAGCCAAAGCCCAAAGTCACAACAGGGTAGCCAATGCTAAGGTGAAAAAAAAAAAAAAAGCAATCTTATGAATCAAACTGCAGCCATGATAGCAAATTAATCAAGTACAGACACTATTCATATACACATATTTGTATATATGCAAGAAAACTTCCATAGGAACTGATTTATAAAGTGGTTTTTGCTGTTGCACAGGAGCTTTCAAGAAATGCTTGGAATATCCACACTGCAAATTCAGCCCAGCACAGAAAGGTGGCACTGGGTCCTTGTTTACACACATTTCTCATGGAGCATTTCGTGGCAGAAATGTGGGGGAAAACTGAACAGCCAAGGCCTGAACCCAAACAAAAAGCCCCGATTATTAATTTTCTTGGTGAAATAAAGGTTAACAGGAAAAGAACAGAGAAGCACTCACCAGTGTGCTGCAAATGGACGACAAAGGTCCACATGGAAGTTTTTTAAATCTTTAAATCTGATGGCTGCTTCAATATAAACAAAAAGTATCCACAGTGATACTGTTGGTAAGCACACACCTCTTTCTGTGGAGGGAAGAGAAACAGAGGCACCTCAGGGACAGAGTAAAGGCAGCAAGGATTTGAAAGTTATTTTTAAAACATTTCAGGAGTCTGAGGAAACAAACCTTAAAGATTTTTATAAAAAAAGAAAGAAAAAGTAAGTTCCCATCAACTTTGATGAGCACTGAAAATGAGTAATTCCTCAAGTTGCCATGAATTAAAATATTAAATCAGCTCAACAGCTACAGCTAAAACTGGCCCATCAGGTTCTTCCTTCTAAGCATCAACCCTGAACAACTTCAGATAAGGTTTTAACATATTAATACAGCTCCAAAAATAGCCCCAGATCCTGCAGGTATTTGAAACTGGGCAGCAAGTGGCTCACAGCACCTGCCATCAGCTCCCACACTGCTGTTATTAGCATAATATAAATTGTCACAGAGCTGAGGGAGGGATGATCCACAGCACCCTGCAAACCCCTGGCATCGAGGCTAGCACAAAATGTTCCACAAATCCCAAGAATCTGGGGAGTGAAAAGTTACCCCTAAAAAAAAATAATTAAATTTTATTCCTAAAATGTTTTGATTGAGGGAAGGAACTAAACCACCTCCCCCAGCTCCACTGCTTTGTCCTGACCCAGGGATTTGTGAGAACAAACTCGGGGAGAAAAGGGCAGCAGAGGGGGACAAGAATTCTCCATGGAAGCCTCAAACTGTCAGGGCAGCCTCGGGTATCACCAGCTCAGAAACTGCACCCAGCTGACCCAAAGCTTTGCTAAAACAGAGTTAAACTCACTGAAATAACTGGTATTTGAACATTATTAACTGAATTATCAGCACACCAACTGAGTGTGGAAGAACACAGCACTGTCACAAACTTGTCCTGTGTGCTCTGCAATTGCTGAATCACTGCAGGAGAGTTTTAAAGGCAGGAATTTAATTTTATTTTAACTGCTCTGGAAATCCTGTTTATTCCCCTCTAGTTCCTGCTTACTGGAGATGCACCCCAAGCACAAAACAAAAAAACCAAACCAAAATTTTTAACTCTAAAATAACTACATTAAGTGAGGCACCAGCAGAAGGGGTTTTGTCCCTAAAAGATATGAGATACACATGGAGTCCTGGAAATTATCAATAAAGAAGAGTTGGAAAAAAAGAAATTATAAATGAGTCAGGAAGTTGTAAATAAAGAAAAAAGCCCACCTGTGTGCCACACATACTGTACCCACACATAGGTGCTGGCAGCAAAGAACAGCCACTGGATTGGGATGAAGAGCAGACAGATGATGTTGGAGGTGAATGCTACACACACAAAAAATACTGAGAAGGCCTGAAAGAAAGGAGGGAGGGGGATAAAGAAGAGGCCTTGGTTATTCCAAGCCAAATATAGTTTTTCATATATATTAAAATACGTATAATACATTTTATATGAAATATTTATTAGTTATAATTTTATCACATAGCAATATTTCTAATATTAAATATTTAAGTTAAATATATTTAACATATTAAAATATGTTTATATATAAATATATAAATATTTTATATGGCTAAATATATTTATAAATTTTTTAAAATATAGTCATCTATCTAGCCCAAATATAGATAGGTCTGTGTGTATATATACACACACAGAGATATATTTCATATATTTATATTTAATATATTTATATATAATACAGTTACAATATAATATATATTTAATATATTTATATATAGTTATATGTATATTTTTAAATATATACAAATATTTAAAAGTCTATATAACAAGGTTTTTTTTTAAATAATACAGAAAGCCTTGCCTGTTTATACATACACAAGGTTGTGATTAATTCAAACCCAGCTCAGGCATTTAAACAATATTTCTCTGTGGTGAAATCTGGGTAAATCTTTATTTCACCATGGATAACATATATTTTTAATATAGCCATATATATAGCCCAAATATAGATAGGCCTGTGTGAATATATACACACACACAGATATATTTCATATATTAATATATATTTAATATATTTATATATAATGCAGTTACAATATATATTTTTATATATTTATATGTATATTTTTAATATATAAAAATATTAAAGAGTCTATATAATAAGGGGTTTTTTTTAAATAATACAGAAAGCCTTGCCTGTTTACACACACACAAGGTTACATATAATTCTGATTAATTCAGACCCAGCGCAGGCATTTAAACAAGATTTCTCTGTGGTGAAATCTGGGTGAATCTTTATTTCACCGTGGGTATCACCCAGCAGAGAGGGGAGGCTGGCAGTGCCCCTGGCAGCTGGCACGGTGGCATTGCCCGGGAGGGCTCCGTGCCCACTCACCAAGCCCTGGTATCGGAAGGAATCGTAAACGCTCCTGATGAAGAGCCAGAAGGGCCACAGGTACTCAAACCTGAACTCCAGCACAAAATCTGCCAGCAGCACCAGGGCCCACACCACCAGGAACTTCAGGTACAGGAAGGTGCTGGGGGGAGACAAAAAGGACATTTCAGGTCAGCATTTCCAACAGAGAAACTCCCTTTTCTTTTTAAAATTAAAATATTCAGAATTAAAACTAAGGACAACTGTAATACATAGAAGGAAATGACAGCCAAAATAATTTTGTAAAATAAATTTAGGTTTGTTTTATTATTATTATTATTCCATTACAGCAGGCCTGGCCTAATGAAGCTAACACTGAACTACATTTATTTTTCCTAATAAACAGCAGGGTCACTGCTCATCAGCACCCATCTCCCTTTGCATTGTCACACACTCAAGTCCTGCCACAGGTAACTTCTCCCAGCTGGAATTTTCTTTTTCCAGTCCTCTCCTCCAGGAATTTTAGTGTTGTCCCTCCTCAGCAGGCTGCAGATGTTCCCTCATTTAACACGGACTGCAACACCAATAAACTGAGATGTATTTTAACCCTACAGCAATTTCAAGTGTTTTGATACTGAGTTAGTGTTAGATTTGCAAAGATTTCTATGAAGGCAAATGGATCCCTTAAAAACAAACAAAAGCCCAGAAAAATGGAAGCACACGAGGCCTGAGACCAGCCTAACTTCTATTTTTAATTATTCCTGAGCCACATTCCCATGTTCTGAGTCCTGCATTTTGAACCACTGATGATCATTCTTGGCAACAGAGCCTAAAAACATTGTGAGCTCATACCCAAGTAACACTTGAGGCATCAGCCCAATCCATTTTTCCAAAAAAACAAGCAAAACCCATTTCTTCCCCAAAGCCACCACCCCAGATCTGTCACTCCAGCTCCCCAATACCTTGCTGCACTCTATTGGGTTACAACAACAAAAAAAAAGAGGGGTTAAAAATACTTTTTTCTCATTTAAATAAAATGCAAATTTTCCTTTTAGTAACTTGTTTTCCCTCCTCTGGCACCCTGGCAGCACAGCCAGCAGAACTTTGCCCTGGAATGTTTGGTGGGAGGTGCCAAGGGTTTGCACCCAGTGCCAGGCAGGGTCGAGTTCCTGCCCTGCTCGGGGCTTTTTTAGGAACTTCTCCAGAGCTCTGGGGAAGAGCCAAAACACCAAATTTCCAGGGAAGGAGCTGGGTACCAGCAGAGACTTGGAAATGAGTGAACTCGTGCAATTCTCAGCCAGGTTCAGGCGCAGAGCACGGGGCTGGGAAAATATTTGGATTTCTGGGGAGCCAGAGTGAGTGGCATGTGCCTGAGAGTGCCCTTCTCAACAGAACGGGCTGGGAAAAAATAAATCCAAAGGCTCCAGGAAGCACTGCAGAGGAATGGAAACAAAATTCATGGCACACACTGGGAAAAGTTAAGGAAGAGCTGTTTGCAGTTCTGAGGGACCCAGCCCCAGGCACAAATTACTGCTTGAGAAAAATGAAACTACAGTGACAAAACCCTCACACCCAACAAAATACCCCACACCAAAACCCCTTAAATGGTCACACTGTCCTGGTGTCCGTGCTTCCACAGGCTGCCTTTCCCTGTTTATTTACAGTGTAGATCCTCACCAGAAATCTGTAAAAAGCAGCTGCATTCAGAGAATATTTGACATTAAAGGTGACATTTGGGTCCAGACTCTGCAATTGCACCTGTGCAACTCCTCAGATCTGAGAAATCCTATAAAATCATGCCAGCCAGGAATTCCTTGCTCAGCTTGGCTGTGTTGTGGAGACTTTTCCTGGGTTACTCCCACGGCTATTGTTTATTTTGCTGCCACTGGAAGCCAGGAGGAGACCCCATTTTTCCCAGCAAATGAGGGCTGTCAGGACTAATGCTGCTCAGCCGTGAAGTGCCACTCCAAGTGAAAGCATTTCTGAACAAGAGTTCTGTAACACAGCCATTAAAGTGATTTCTGATATTAAATTCATATCAATCCAAGGGCCCCGCTGACACTTAGCACCTTCTAAAGTGGGATTGGAACAATGCAACACTTGTAAGGAGGTTTTGCCAACAGTATTAAAGAGCCTATTTCTCATTGTCTGGAGGGCTCCAAAGCCATTCAGAATTCCAGGAGTTCAGGAAAGTTTCAAAGCCTCAATCCTTGTGTTGGCCCCAGCAGGGAAGGAGCCCAAATCTCAGCTCCTGCTACCCCTGAGGTGCTGCACATCCAGGTTTGTGTCCAGGTGAGCCCCCAGCTCACAGCTGAAACACATCCCCAGCAATTAAATCCCTTGGAAAACCTGTTTATTGCACAGGCTCAAAGATATCCCATGACGCCAACTGGAATTCTGAGGTGGATCCTCACAGGGAAGATTCCTACAGATAAATACCTGAAATCTGGGTTATCCAATTTCCTGACACGTCAAAAAATCTGCCCTGGGTGAGCTGGCAGAGGTTTAAGCATGAACCAGCATATGGCATCCAATCCTGGAGGGTGATAAAGGAGAAGGGAAGGATGGACACATCCATGAGAGGAGCAGGGCACAGGGCAGGGAGGAGCAGTGGTTACAGAGCTGCAATTTCTCTGAAAGGTCAATTGATGGCTAATGTACACTGAATAGAAAGATTTATTCATAACCCTGCAGTGCCTGTGCTCCCCCTATGAATCTGCAAATAAATTATTTTCCTCCTTATTCTTCCTCCCCCTGCAAGTGCCAGATGCCATTTCCTTTTTTTTTTTCCCCTCCTTTTTTTTTTTCCCCTCTCTTGTTCTTTGTTCTCCTTTTACTGCCCCGCAGAAGCAGATCCTCTGCCGGCTGTAATGTAAAAACACTGCCAAAAACCCCTAGAAAAAGACCCAATTCTGCACCCCAAACCCAAACTGGGGGTGGATGAAGCCTTAATTCTATTCCACTATTATCAGCAAGGCCCAAAGGCTGGAAAGGCAATCCTGGCATGTTCCATTTGGCAGCCTGACTCATCCAAGACAATGGAGTGGGAGGCATCCCGAGGCTGGCACAGGTGAGATTTAAAAAGGTGAATTTGAGAATTTGGGTGAAACCCCTCACCTCAGGGTCACCCAGCAGCCACAACACCAGGGATGCTGAGTAGAGATTAGCAAATGTTAAATCTTTATCTAATAAACACACAGAGAGATATCTAAGATTATTATTAGTGAGCAGAAGAAGGGGAACACGGCAAGTTTGAAAGGCAGACAACATCACTGCTGGCACTGACCATGTGAAACCCTGCCAGCTACAGGTTTGAAAAGGAAAAGAAATGTAAAGAACCCCAGGATGGCAGCCCAGGCAGGGGCAGACAATCAGCACCCAGCGCTGTGGGGCTGGCACAGGAGGCACTGCCAGCTCTGGGAGTTCAGCTGCAAACCCCAAAATCCCCAAATCCAGCCACAGGAGCCCCCTCAGCTGCAGGGAGTGAGAGCCAGGGCAGAGGGGCTGGCATTCCCTGTGCCACCAGGCCTGGCACAGCAGAGCACATGAAATGTAGCATAAATGACACTGGAGCCCTGTACTGAAGTTCAAGTCATAAAAGGCAGCTCTGCTGCTTTGTTCCAGACCCCCAGGGGCAGCTCCAGCAAAAAATGCTTTGCCCTCTATAGGAAGCTGGTAAAAAAAAGTGCCAGAATAAATTAGTAGGAGGAATCATTACGGATTTTCAAGAAAAGCCTAAAAAAGGCCACATTCTTGGAGGTAGTGCTGATGTTTTCCTTCCAGTTTATTTGGCTGTCAAAAATCCAGTCCCTGGAACTCATCCCTGTGAGGATTTGGGTGGCAGAGGGAAGCAGGAGTATTTATGGGGTCGTGGCACCCAGGAATCCTGTCCTGTGCCACCAGGGCCACTTGGAGATGAGACAGCCTCCCCTGCCAGGCACCCACTTGGCTGCCAGCCCACGGAGTGCCAGGGATAAAGGGCAATTTTCATCCCCAGCTAAAAAAATCCTGCCTCTGAAGGAACATGGAGTATTTCAGGACTATTGTCAGGGAATCCATGAGACAGCATCCATCAGCTGATGTGACAGCACGAGTTAAAGCAGCGTGGAATTCATCTTGAAACTTCCCCAGCTAGGAAAGTGGGACCGAGCAGAGCCAAGACAAGCAATATCAGCAATGCAGCTGAAGGATTTCAGCCAGATCTGAACCAGATCAAAGATGAGGCCTGGGAAGACTCAGGAACAAGCAGGAACAAATAAACTTTAATTGCTTAACTGATGACAAGCTGCAATGAATACTTTTAATTAACAGTTAAGGGCTTAATGCATGCACACTGCCAAAGGTAGGAGATGTTAAATCACTTTAGCATTTTTAAACTGTTGGCATTGTTTTACACGGGAGAAGGCAAAATTTGGAATATAAGCTGTGGAAATATGAGATCCTCCAAATCCTGCCAAGAGTGTGGTGGGTTTGGAGATCTGTTGAATGCAGTTATTTTAAATTATAATAGAGTTCTTTCCTTAAAATTCCTGCAATACTTCTAAAGAGCATAAGTCACTACAAAAATCAGCATTCAGAGAGATAGATAATCCACATCTTTCAGTGCAGCGCAGGATTTTATATTTCTAACTCTGTTCTGTTTTTCTATCACTTCTTCTAATCTGCTTGAGTTTCACACGTGCAATGAACGCTGCCTGCAGGACAATTCCTTCCGTGCTCCACCTGCTCCAAAACTCCTCATTTTCCCAGCCCTCGCCCACCCCACGTGTCTCAGGGACAGCTCTGCCTTGCTCACACTGCCAGGCTGGACAGAAGAATTAATTTCAGATCAGGCTTAATTTAAAAAGCAAACAAAACAAAGAATTAAGTATCCCAATCCTACTGTTTGCTCAGCCTAGCTGCTCTGCCCATAAACCCAGGATGCTTCCTCCTGATAACTGCATTTACTGGGTCTATGTAAGCTGATGGGGACAATTAAGATAAACCGAATAAATAACTGCAGTAATTGCAAGAATTTAGACAGCTGTAGTTCTGTGAGAAGCTACCTGTATGTGATCACTGAATTATGGAGTGAAGAGAGAAAAAAAACAGAGAGAGCCCAAATCCGTGTAGAAGAACCTCCCTCTGCTTAGATTTCCAAAGGGAAAAACCTTCCCACTATTTCCCTTTCTTTTCTGTGGGACAACACTCTGAAGACATTGTTTCTGTTTAGCAAAATGCCACGTGAAACAAAGACTAAAAATCCCATTCCTGAGCCAAAGCATCCCAGGAGAAGCAAAGGCAGAGGTGAGACTCCTCAGAGACTCCAGCAGCTCTTCCTGCTGCACACACTCAGAGTTTTCCCTGATGTCCCCTCCTTCTCTCACCCCACCTTCCCTGCCAGTCACCTCAAAAGCAAAGCATCTGGAATGATTTAAAATCCAGTTATAAGCAATTCTTTATATATTTGAATTATTCTTCACTTTGAATAATAATTTCTACACAAGGGATGTTTTTCTTTACCGTTCCAGGCAGGGTTTTCCCAAAACCTGGAAGTCTAAAGCAAGAAGCTCTCCACTGTCACAGATTCACTACAAGTGGGGTAAGCAGCACACAGGGACAATCTTATTCCTGTCACAGCTCCCCAGCAGCTGCTTCCCTCATGCAAAGTTCACATCTGAATTGTATGAGCTCGCTCAGGTTTCCAGGCACTGCATTCATCAACCCCACTGAACTAGAAACAGAAATGGGACAGCAGCACATTTACTACAGCTCTTGCAAGCTTCAGAGCCTCTCCTGACCCAAACTCCTGCTGACTGAGAAACGCACAGCCGCACCAAACCTGCCACACTCGGGAGAGCAGGGCTGAAACAGATCTGCACAGCCTCACAACGTGGGACACAACTCAGCCTTCTGCCTGGGAGCACCTGGAAAACAATCCTGATCCCGGGACGGGCACATCCCAGAGCTGTTCACTCCCTCACTGCCCGGCTCAGAGCTGAGGGCACCTGGAAAACACATCCCAATCCCAGGACGGGCACATCAGGGCACATCCCAGCGCTGTTTGCTCCCTCACTGCCCAGTTCAGGGCTGAGCCCAGCTCCTGGAAAACACATCCTGATCCCGGGACAGGCAATCCCAGGGCATATCCCAGCGCTGTTTGCTCCCTCACTGCCTGGCTCAGGGCTGAGCCCAGCTCCTGGAATACACATCCTGATCCCGGGATGGGCACATCCCAGCGCTGTTTGCTCCCTTACTGCCTGGTTCAGGGCTGAGCCCAGCTCCTGGAAAACACATCCTGATCCCAGGACAGGCACATCCCAGCGCTGTTCGCTCCCTCCCTGCCCACTCAGGGCTGCCGTGTCCCAGCACACCAGACCATCCCCCCTGCTCCGGGAATTCCCCACCAGCCTCCAGCCGCCCAGCCTCTCACGGCTTCCCCAGCATCCAAAACACCTCCGGCAGAACCCCAGCCGGCAGCCCAGCCAGCAGCCCGGCACCGCTGTGGCCGGGAAACCCTCCCCGGGGTGACCCCGCCAGCTCGGAGCTCGGGCACCGAGACCCCGCCGGGAAACCTCCCCAGGGCGAGCCTCGGAGCTCGGGCACCGCCGGGGGAAGGCCCCGGCGCCGTGCGCGCAGCCCGGGCCGGCTCCGGCCGCTCGCTGCCGGCAGCACCTCGGCCAGCAGCACCCCCGGCCCCGCGGAGCCCCGGGGCGGGGCAGCGCCTGAGGGGCGCCGGGGCGCCATGACGGTGACAGGGCCCGGGGGGCGGCCGCGAACCGCGCGCTGCCGGCGGCCGCTCGGTACCTGCCGTAGATGCCCTCGGTGATGCGGTTCCGCTTGAGCGGCCGCCGCAGTTTGCTGCAGTCCGCGCTCCGCCGCTTCATCCCGCCGGCCCGCCGGCCCGGCCCGGCCCGCCCCGCTCACGGCAGCACCATCCGCCCCCGCGGGGGGTTCCCGAGCGCGGGGAATTTTTTGGGGGGGTTATTTTTGGTTTTTTCCCGGTTTTTGCTTTTTTTTTTTTCCCCGGGAAACAAAGAAATAAAAATAATTCCTGGTCCGTCCCTCCCCGCCGCGTCCCCCCGCGCAGCCGCCGCGCAGGGCCCCGCCTCCCCGGCCGGCACCAATCAAACGGTTGATCCCACCTGAGTGACAGCATGGACGACCAATCGGCAACGGGGGAAGGCAGACAGACGGTAGAACGGACCAATCGTAGTGCAAGAAAGTTGAGCCCACCTCGTGCCGTCGCGTGGCACACCCTCCGCTGTGAGTGACAGCCCTATAACCCAATCAGAGGGGATGATTTGTGATTGATGGCCTGCCAACCAATCAAAATGCAGATTTTGGTCTCCTCCCGCCTACTGTGCAGCGGGCAGGTTCTCGCCCCTTGCGGTGACCGACAGCAAAATTGCCCAATGGAGGAGAAACAGAAAAATAAAAGGACAGCTCAGCCATCCACTCGGAAACGGAAGAAGGAGGGCTCTATTTCCTCTGTCACCGTAGCACCCAGGTGCCACCTCTCCCGCTTGATTGACAGCCTCGCTGGCAAATGGGCAGCCGCGGAAGGGGTGCAAAGTCAGGCAGTGACAGTTTGTGCCGCCCCCACAGCGCGGCCTGCGCCGCCGCTCACCGGAGAGCAGAATAACGCCCGGCCCGCCAGCCAATAAATACCGCGCGGAGCTGAGTGACACGCCAGCGGACCAATCACAGCACGGAACGCGCGGCCCAAAGACGGCCGGTGCTGCGGTTAAGCCAATCAGAGGGCAGGAGGCGCTGCGCTCGGCCAATGGGAGGGCAGTCCCTAAGGGCGGTGTGTGGGGAGGGGGCGGGCATTCCGTGAGGGGCCGGTGCCGCCACCGGGGGCTGCCGAGTCACGGCCGGGCGCCGGCACCGGCACCGGCATCGCTATCGCTGCTGTGGGCACCGGCACCGGCACCGGCACCGGCACCGCTGTGGGCCCCGGCTGCGAGCCCCCGCTCGCCAGACCGCCCCGCTGCGCCCCCACCCCAGCGCCCGCCTCCATGGAGCCCGAGACCCCACAGCGCTCCGTGTTGTGAAAAATGCGTATGATATGGCTCTACGCAGATAGTTTCTATATGTATTATGTTATATTGATTAGTTGTGCTTTTGTAGTTAAAATGAAGGGTTTAGTAGTTAAAATAGAGGCTATGTATATGCGTTTTTTTTTTTTTTAATTATTATTTTTTTTAGGAATGAGGTACTCGCTTCGAGGAACACCTAAATCTTCCAAAGAAAAGGAATTTATGGTTTTCTTATCAGAAGAAACTTAATTTCTTCAGGCCTTGCTCAGACGCCATGGGGATTAATGGAAATAGTTGACATACAACAGACAGAGTTTCTTGTTTTAAACAGAATGTACGCAAAACCATGAAGGATATATGAATATGCAACAAGTGTATTGTTTTATGGTTATTCCTTTGTTCACAAGGGATGCTTTTCATGACTTCGTGTCCGAGAGCATCCGGACGTCCGTCATTCTCTCCTTTTTATTGTCTTGTAATTGTCCTAACTCTACATTTTATTACTCTAATTGTATTACTATTTTTATAACCATTTTATTATTATTAAATTTTAAAATTTTAAAAACCAAGAGATTGGCGTTTTTCACAAGGGGAGCCTGTGCCAAGGCCTCTTCACCCTCGTGGGGAAGAACTTTAAAGAAAAGCTGGGAAAGTGCTTTGATATTAAAGTGCTTTGATATTAAAGCAGTTTGACACTGGATGGGAGGCAGGTTCAAGCCATCCCCACAAATCCAAGCCTTGCACAGATGCCACACTGTTATTGTGCCCTCCAGCCTGGCTTGGCAGCAGGGGTGGCCTAAAGCTGAACTGTGAATTTTCTGCCTGTATTTCTGCCTGATAAATGTCCCTGTCACCAGCAGGTGGCTTTATCCCTATTTCTGAGCACGTTTCAGGCTGCTGGCGTTGTGACAGAGCCGAGCCTGAGGTGTAATTACAGCGCTCTGCTCTGAACTGCCTGGGCAAAAGGGCACCGCGAGCACTGAGAAGGGACAAACGCTCCTGCAGTGCTAAAGGGGGCTTGCAAAGGGAGCAGAGGGGTTTTTATGTGGCTTGGGACTGCCAGAGGGCAGGGTTGGAGGGGATATTAAGAAGAAATTCTTTATTCAGAGGAGGTGAGGCCCTGGCACAGGTGCCCAGGGGAGCTGTGGCTGCCCCTGGATCCCCTCCAAGGGCAGGTTGGACAGGGCTTGGAGCAGCCTGGGAGGTGGCCGTGTTCATGGCAGGGGTGGCACTAGATGGCTTTAAGGTCCCTTCCTGGCCAAAACACCCTGTGATTTTTGCAGTGGATCCCTAAAATGTCCCTGGAGCTGTTCCCACGGCCAGATGTGCAACAGGCTGATCGCACAGCAGCAGAGGAGCTGCTGCATCCCCAGAGCTCCCCCATTCCCTGCCTTGGGTTGGCTCCGTCCACACGAGGTTGGCTGTGGGACGGTCACCCTGGGGTCTCAGCAGGACCCTCCCCTCCTTTCTGTGCCAGGACTTGGGGCCAAGTGAACAAACAATGGTGCTGCTCGTGGAGTCACGGTGTCCCTGTCCTTTGGGTCCCCAGCTCTGGAGTGGCCCGGGGAGGTGTCCTGAGGCAGGGCAGGGCTGGCTGTGGCCATGGTCTGGCTCTGCCCCTGGCTCTGGCCATGGCCATGTCCACGGGCACTCCGTGGGCTCAGCCCCTGTGAGCTGGGCAGAGTTTGGGCTCCTGCCGCAGCGCAGATAAGGAGCTGCTCCCTGCTCACGCCTCTGGGCCTTTTTATCTCTCGCTGAGTCCTCATTGCTGGCCCCCCACGCCTCCTTTGCTGTTGGGGTGAGGGCACAGGGAGGTTTTCCTGGGGAAAAGGAGCAAGTGATGAGTTGGTGCTCCATGTAGCAGAGTGCACGATGCCTTCCCGGTACCTGAGCTTCCGCTGCAGCGTGCCCTGGCTGATCCTCCTGCTGCAAGCTCTGCTCCTCACCCGCTCTTACTTCGGCTTCCCAGGTGTTAGTGACACCTACGCCTCATCCAACTCCTACCCAGGTAAGCCTGGCACCCTGCTGGCAAAGGAGGGGGGATCCCTGCTGCTGTTGTGCCCTGCACAGGGGTGGGACTCAGCAGGGTCTGGTGGTGAGAAGCAGAATGGTTTTATTGCTTTTGAACTTGCCAGGAGTGGTGGGACTTCGTGTCACAGGTGTGATGGGGATCCAAGACTAAATTGCAGTTTTGGTCAGTTTTCTGTTGGGTTTTTCAACCATTTGGCCCCCCATCTGGTGGCATCCATTCAGATAACTGTGTAAAATTAAATTCAGCATTAAGAGCATTTTTTCTCTGATTATAGATTAGAGAGAAAGCTCTGGAATTCTTTGCAAAATTCTTTGCAAGTGCTAAACAATAGTGGCATTTAATTTTTTATCTGAAGGCTTCCTAGTTAATTGGAATTTTTAAATTGATTTTTTTTAACCAGAAGTCTGCATCAATAATTTCACTGCTGTCTTGTTCTTTTCTGTCCTGTAGCATTTCAAGATGTCACCCACATGGTGATTTTTGGATTTGGCTTCTTCCTGATGGTTCTGAGGAGATACGGCTTTAGCAGCACTGGATTCAACTTCTTTCTTGTTGTTCTGGGTGTCCAGTGCTCTATGCTGGCAGAAGATTTATTAGTTTTCATTAGGGGACAGCAAAATCAAGTTGGTATGGAAAGGTAATGAGTTGATGTTAGAGCTGGGCTAGTGCAGAACTGCTGAGTGCTCCTTGTGGAGGTGAATGCCTCCTTGTGGGGCCCTGCTAGGGATGGGCAGAGTCACATTTGCAGGCATTTTAGAGGGCTTTTGCTTTTCAAGTGCATTGTTCTGTGTTATTCCTTTTTATTGGTCCTGCTGTCACCCTGAGTTGTTCTTTCCTTTCTTGCAGTCTAGCAAAGGCTGTGGTGAGCACAACTGCTGTGGTCATCTCCACTGGGGCAGTCCTGGGCAAGGCCAATCCTGTGCAGTTAATTGTGATGACCCTGGTGGAATTAATCTTTTTCTACGTGAGCAGATGCATCAACAGAACATTGCTGGAGGTACCCTGGTGGGATTTGCAGATCTGTGGGGGGAAATGTCACTGGAGCTTTGGAGCAGCTCAGTCAGGAGCTGCAGCAAAGGCTTTGTGTGGCCTGGATCAGCCCACGGATGGTGAATATTCTCTTGGCACAGGTCCCAGAGCCCCTCACCGTGATGCACGTGCACCTCTTTGGAGCCTACTTTGGTCTGGCACTCACCTCCCGCTTCCCTGAGCCTCCCCCAGGGCTGGACAAGAACAGGAGCACCCCAAAGTCAGAGCTGCTCTCAGTGCTGGGTGAGTCCTGCCTGGAATGGCTCAGCTGGAAGAGGGATTGCAGGGAGAACGTGGGGAGGGTTGGGGGTTTAAATGCAAAATGCAGCTCTGAATGCAGCCAAGCACAGGAACTGCTGCTGTGCTTCCTGCTTTGTGACAGTGGCCCCTTTCCTAAGAGGCCACTCCTGCCACAGCTGGGGCTCAGTTTGCTTTGTCACCTCGGCATAAAGGCTCCTCCAGGTTAGCAGCTCTTTCTCCAGGTTCACCACTCCCTTTCCTGGCCAAGCTGTCCCCCTTGGCTTGCTGGTGAGGGGCTGTGTGCCAGAGCTGAGCTCATCGCTTGTATTTCAGCAGAGCTCAGGCTGCTTGTCCAGGTGGTGCACAGAGATAGAAAGGGGCAGTCCCTGCTGGTAACAGAAGTAAAAAGATAAAGCCTGGTGAAGGGTGGAGAGTGTGATACAGGCAGGCCCACCAAAGAGGAGCTGGGGAGGGACAGGCTCAGTGTCTGGGACTTGCATTCCTTTTGTTATGGAAGCAATTTGGTGTCTTTATTATCACAGCTTCTGTAGTGCAACTGCCACCAGCTGAACCCAGAGCTTCCTGCAGGGGTCCACAGGGTCTCAGTCAGTCTTTGCCCAGTTTGGGGAATACAAATCTTCAATGCTGCTCTTTTGTGTCCCTGGAGTTCTTGTTTGCTGTTTATTTCCAGAGCTGAGCACATACTCGTAAGAATGCTGC